GAGGTGATTCCATTCGGCCACCAATTCTCGACGACGAGGCAGCTAGCACATCGTCTTCAAACCATTCTTGATGTCGACGCTTGACCGGAGTTGGGCGATTTTCTTGAAGAGGCTTCCTTTGGTGTTCCATCGCTTGCATCCATACATCTTTCCATTGGGTTTCCAAAACATAACATCCCCACAACTCGAGGTGGAAGTTGGAGAGGCTCGTTTCTGAGGCGGTCCTCATGAGCAGGTAGATCCGAGTGTCGAATCGATGTGACGGTCCGTATTGTAGTTCACGGACATCCATCATCTCGTTGCGGTGTCGGAGTGATGGCTTCAGGATCCTTTGGTAAAGTTGCCCGTATTCTCCAGTTGAGTCCTACGTATGGAGCGAAGGAAAGACGATTATTTTCACCGTGTTGCGCTTCTTGTTGACCGCCTTCATTCCGTTGATCAACTCTTCAAAGATCTTGTCGTTGGCGAGAATCTTCGTGGCTTCCGGCACTTGTATGTAGACTTCTTGCAGTGGCGTCTTTGGAGAAATAGAAGCCGCAAGTCGTTTCAAATCCTCTTCGGGATTCATTGATGCTTTTCGCACTTCGCACTTCACTTTGCTCTTCAGCACATATGCCAGCTGAACGACGGTTTGGTCACCAAATAGGACCACTTGCGTGTCGGTCAACATCACGATTGCTGGATCCTTCGCTTTCAGCAAGGGAGCAGGAGCTGGCGGCTTCTTTGCCTTGACATTCTCTCTGATTCCAAAGAAGACTTCTTTTGCACAATCGTCCAAAGAGGCACAGTCTTGCAATCTCAGATTTTCGTTTCCAGAGTTATAGATTTCACATAAGTCGGCTTGAAATTCCGGGAAGAGCTTGGCCAACCTTTGGAATACAATCTTGAAGGACTTTGGGCTCACAGGGAAGTGAGGCTTCTCGGAGTTGGCAAATCCCTCATAATCGTATCCGGCTGTCATTGCTTCGATATATCCCGCTAGCGTTCTCACACTTGTCGAACCAAAAAAAGATATCTCCTCTGGTACTTCACTTCCGTTCGCCCAAATCTCGGAGATTTCTACGCGGCGCGGCAGTTTGTACTCCTGGTGAACAATCGAGTTGGACGAAATCATAGTCCATCCGTCACCGTCGCTGAGTTCGGTCCAGACCCTAAAAGAAAACATATTATCCACATGATAATTTAGTTTTTGAACTCTTTTACTCCGTCTGACCGGTTCAATCATTTCCTGGGTTTTAATTGTAGTCCTTCTTTTGTTTTTAGCGTGAGGGATTACAATTTCAGTATCAGGCATTTCCTCGGGGGCTTGCCGCAACCTTTCCAACTGCACATTCATTATAGGTCGGTTTGGGTTGACAATATCACTTATCTCTGCTGAAGTGTTTCCCAATTTCAATAGACGGTAAGGTCCAGTGAACCTTTGGCTACATTTTCCGTGTTGGGACGGTTCAATTAAGAGCACTCTCATGCCAGATTTCAATTCTCTAGGGTCAATGGTCACTTTTTCTCTTTCAAAGTATTTTTTCATCTTTTCCGCCGCTTTTTCAAGATTTTCCCTGACATCCTCATATGCCACCTGTAAGCCTGAAAACAAAGCTAGTTTATAGTCATCACGGTCGACCATACAAGGGTTCAACTTTGCGCGATCGACACCCTTGATCGGAATTACGGGATCACGACCTGTTATAAACACCAAAGAAGGTTTATGTGAAAGAAACGGTTCAAATGATGAGTCGGACTCTTTGCCATTTTAACCAGCTGCGTTTGGAAGTTCATAAACTCCACGAAAGAAAAGCTTTGTGGAATCTCTCAAAAGTCATTTTGTAGAGAAATAGTGGATCCTTTTGATGAAACCAAACGTATGTTTAAAGAAGGCTTTATGTGTGCAAAAAGTCCCTTTAAAGTTTGGCGCCGACTCATTCTCCCCAACCCAATAGATTTCTGTTCAACTTTTTGATCCTTTAGCTTCTGTAACATTTGTTTGACTGTATCGATCATTGCGAGTGGTACTGGGCGAGCTTTCTGCTTTATTGGCAAGGCGTCCCCTGTATCGATAAAGTGTTGAACGTGCTTCGCCTGTCCCAACTCAAAATCCGATAGCGCAAACACATCTGCAAATTCAGCGATGATCTCCTGTAACTCTGTATCTATAGGGCATTTGTTACCAACTAGTTTGTGCCAAATACTTTCAATTCTCACTGAGTCAAAAAGCTGTTCAGCTGTGCACTGATTATTCTCCGTATTCAAATTCAACATTTCCGAGCATTGTTTGGTGGACTTTGTTCCTAGCTGTGGTTCAACTGCCTCCCATTTTTCCCATCGATGATTTCAGCTAGAAGAGGGTCACGTTTACGCAACAAGAGGGGTTTTTCTTGTGCATTTCGAACTAGTAATTTGCCATTGCCATTTTTGTCCAAAGCCACAACATATTCATGCTTAAGGAACGGCACAAGGTGTACTCCTGAGTACTCTCCTCGGATAGGTATAATTCGGTTGCTGCCCGGTAGTATGACTTCACTGCTTGTAAAGCTCACAGTTGTGTGCTTTGTTTCAATTGGTGACTTATCTGCGGCGATAGATTCTTCATCAACCCACAACGAGACACGAATTCCTGCTTTATGTAGACCGTTCATACCTAGCAACACTGTGTCATCTTCCCGATCAAGAATATAAAAACCGATGGTTGCCGTCTGACCATCATTGATTTTCACTGGCAGTTTGCAACGTCCGATTAATGGCATCAAATTTCTTGAAGCATCAAGAATGTGGAGTTCTTGAGCCGATTTTCTTTCAAGAGAAATATCGAAATTTTTCAAGGCCGCATGTGGATTCGAGTTAGCTTTTCTCAACAATGCTTTAGATACTAGCGAGATATCTGCGCCCGTGTCAATCACTATAGTAGCATCCACAAAAGCAATTTGACCCCGAAGCTTCAATTGTTCTCCCGTAAATTCGCTTTGGTCACCTTTTATGGAGACCATTCTCAATTCATTAACAGTTAAAGAACGTGAAATATTAGAATTCGATTCACTTAGTATTGGGTTATAAAATAGCTGATTTAAGCAAAATAAATGGGATTTAGGGGTCGAGTTCCCCTTCCTCAATAGTTGCCCGGGTCGATGACCACCGCAGCAAGCCGAAAATCCGTCGGCGACACACAAGCTTATTGTGCAGCACTTAGCACAACGCTTCCATTCTTCAACTGTCTCACAAGAGTTGGCAAGGTCTCCCAAATACCGTTCTTCATAAGGTTTCCCAAAAACCTTTCTCCGTCCAGGCTTCCCAAAAACCTCTCTTCTCCCAGGTTTCCCAAAAACCTCTCTTCTCTCAGGTTTCCCAAAAACCTATCTTCTCCCAGGTTTCCCAAAAACCTCGACAAATCGTCAGTAAAACTTGGTCCAGCTGCAGTAGGATACCAAGTCGCTAAAGCCTCCCGAAGACTCAGCTGTAGAATTCGACTTACAGCCCCAATCGAGATGTTCTTGCTCGACACCGGCGAATACAATAATTAAAGACAAAATTTTTGTTAGTGGGACAAAATTTCACAAGATTCGCGCTCGAAGCCAGGGCGTTGGCTGTATTGAATACAAAAACACAACCGAGTATGGGCCTATTGGGGCTCACGTGGCCATCGTGATTCTTTTCGGTCACCACACTCATCTCCTCGACCTTGGGACACTCGACACGGATCGACCAAACGACACCATTTGATTTGCACGAGTTATGATTTTCTTTGTTCTGAGTAGGGGCCAAGAAATCCTCTGGGGTTTGACCCAGTGTGACGGACGCCACCTCTCTTTGTTGTACAGCTTCCTCGCCTATAACAATCTGGCTAACGGTTTGGTTTCTGCGACAAAACCGTATACTATGTCCAGGCTTTCCGCATTTAAAACAATTGTTGTTTCGCAAGCTCCGCGCGTTTACATTTCTACCGTTCGATACTTGTTGTGTTGTTTCTCTAGGCTTCTGTCCGAAGTAATTCAAATTCTCCGTACCATTTTGCTGGTTGGAATCCGTAGAATTCTGAAACCATTCATTACTATTTAATCTATTCATTTGTTTTTGAGGCTGCATGTTCGCCTGATTGTTGCCGCGATTCGGCGCAAAAGAATTGAATCGGCTATTGAATCTTTGGTTTGGTTGAATGACTTGAATTTTGGGTGTCAGGGAAAACTTAGAATAGTATTGGCTACGGATAAGACGATTTTTCAACTCCGTATACTGGGTCAGATTTCCTTACTTATCGACACATGTCTCAACAAAGCTGGAAAATCCTGGGTCGCTGTCTAAAATTCTTAGCAGAGCTTGGCATTGCTGCCCCAGTCGCTGTTCTGTTTCTGCAGCACTAGGATATCCTTGTTGTGTCAGTGTCTCAATGCGTTGGCAAGCACCAATAAGATCCGTAATTGAACCAGTGTAGGCGGTGAGTTGATTCTGGGCAACTATTCTTGCCATTGCCTCAGGTCCTCTGAGTTCTCTACTCATATAGCTGACCATGGCATCAAACGAGCTTTCTTTCAAATATTTGGGGATAGTCTCATAGATCGCTTTAGCATTTCCAATCCGATGTGTCTTGAAAAGGTAATGCTTTCTTTCTTCTGAAGTGGTCGCATTGAAGTGCGCTTTTACCGAGAGACCAAAATCACAGAAGGGTTCTTGGTTGGGCTTATTTGCGAAAGTTTTGATCGGGGGTAGGTTGGAAATATATGCGGCATCTAGGAAAGCTGCGGCTGTATCGACAGCTGTTATGTTTTCCGTGGTGAATTTTGATCGGGCAAAAATGGATTTCCGTGGGAATTCCATTCTTGACCCGTTTCTTTCCCCCATACCGTTCTGCGTTGTTCCTTCCTCGAGTGCTTCCCTCCAGTTGCTCTGGCTCATCATCGGCTCCACGGTGTGAAACGGTGATGCCTGAACCAAATATTTGTTTCCTCTTTCCCACTCCTTCTCTATATGCTCCTCAAACTTTATACCTTTCTTATGGGTTGAGGGCTCCATCATGTTGTTGGTCTTGTCTTCGACCGAATCGGTGAGCATCGCCTGAATAACAGAATATGCTTCTTCCTCTTTGCAGTTTAATATGTCACAAATTTTTATTAGTATATTGTGGTCTTCAATACATCTATCAACTTTTCTAATCAACTTTATATCCGAACAACCTAATACTACCCCACTCACATAATGACGGTAAGAAGTGCTGCGTAGTCTAACTTTGAACACGTTTTTCTCAACACTGGCTTATGCTACAATGCGTGCTTATATTCGAGCGTGAATGAACTCAAGAAAGCTATTCAAGTAGCCTGGAATCGGCTCCAGCCAACAGCGCTCCATGACCTTGTCTCTTCGATGCCAAACATCAAACGGTTGACTCAATTTGAGTACGAATTTGAGTATTGATATATCTATTAGCCAAAACTTGATCTAAAGGCACCCTTCCATTTTTTTGGCCACCTCTTCTTCTGTGCAGTCAATTTGCCCAAAAGCTGAACAAATTCAAAAACTTTTTATATCAAAATGTAGAGGAGATCTTCAGCTTTCGAATGATATATAACACTCATATGCATCTGTTCGATATCTTGAGAAATTTACAAAATAGTAAAAAACGCGCATTCATAACTGGACAACCCAATATAGTACATTCTACTTTCTGTCGAAAGTTTTTTGGAAAAGAATAGTTTTGCAAAAACTGGTTGGCATAATTTTGGACCACTCTCTATATTGTTCATTTTCCCAATCTATACCTTTTGGCCTAATCGGTTCTTCTTTTAAATACCTGAGCGAGATGAGAAGTTGGCTAAATTGAGCCACGTTATGCACTACATCTTTCATCATTGAGCTATCAAGTACATACCCAGCCACCGTCGAAAATGCGTCATCCAACTGGTATGAACATCTAACAAGAAAAGGTTTTTAATAGGGACCGTCTTGCGGGATTAAAATAGCTAGACTATTGTCGGTTGACTCATTGACAACCGGAAAGTCACATACACATTTGACCCACATTTTTTGTCCATTTGGTAATTTTTTGATATAATCACATCCCCACGCACACGTGTAGACAACGGAGTAGATTCCTCTAGCCACACCTTCGTTCACTGCTAGTAAGCTAAAATGACTGATCAAACCGGGAAAACTTGTTAGTGCATTCAATTATAATATATTCAGCATCAAGTAGTCTAATCTAGATCAAGTCTAATCTAGATCAAGTCTAATCTAGATCAATTACTAATGTTGATAGTACACAAGTGTACTCTAAGCATAAGTTCTTTTCTAGTCGAATTTCTGTCAAATAAATGATTAGTTCTTCTTTGTTAGAATTTGTTAATATAATACAAACCGAACTGGAAGAGATAAACGATCGTTTCTCATCGGAAAATAGATAGCAAATGGAGTAATGAAGATTGACAAAACACTACCCTAAAACTTGCCTAAAATATTGTAACAAGAACCACTTTTGGCCGGCGAAAGGACATAAGAGATCGCTCAAAAACTTACAACGAATTGACTAAAGACAAGCCAATAGGAAATTTTGCCCTTCAACTTGTAAGTGATATCAAATGGGCTATGAGGTGTCCAGTAATACCAAGCCTGATCATAAAGCAATCCAAGCACATAGTAAAGGCCTGAAACATACTCACGTGTAGAAGTTATAAAATTGGACTATACCAGACTATATTCCTGATCACTAACGATTTTTCATATGCAATTTTCTTCATATCGATTCGATTTTCGGTTTAAGAAGCGATTTTACAGCGTTCGATATGTAAAGAAACTAGACTCTAGCGGTTTGAAAGCTGCTTTTATCTACTACCTGTTATGCTTACTAATATTATGCTATACAGTAGCTATTGTCTAAAGAAGGCTATTGTCTAAAGAATCAATTAACCTTTTGACTGGTACTAATTGTGTTCCATTTAGCAAAGTCAACTAGGAGTTTTAAAGGTGTCTTTAAAGTTCGGCGCCATTTCACTCTCGCCAACCCAATAGAAACATTGAAAAACAGTCTAGATTCACATTTTTCCTGAAACGACTTGAAACCGATAGGGTCAATCAGTTTCATCGGTTTCAACCAGTTTGGTTCGGATGGTTCGATTCTAGATTTCTATCGGTTCCGATCGATTTCTGAACTGATTTTCATGTCTACATACAGAGTGTTGTAATTTAGACTGGCTTAACGATATATCGTTAACGAAAATTTCCAGGAAATGCATAAACTAACAATAAATGCTTCTGGTATACAAAATTCTTCATTTTTTTTGCACAGCACCAAACGGTATAAGGGGAAAAGTGGGGAATTTACCGCACCAGAAGCAGTTAGCTTATGCATTTTTTGAAGATTTTCGTTAAGGAGATATCGTTAAGCAAGTCTAGAACTGTCATGTATAGAACGAAAATTGTCTCAAATTGGCAAAAGGGAAAGTCAGGATTTAACTTTTGGTCTAAACTAATGTAACAAAGCTCTGCGAATCTTTGACTCTTGGAAGAACTCTATGACCATGAGCATCAAGACTATGAATTAAGTATATAAATAGCTAACCTAGCAGCAATACGGTGAGAACAATGACGATGAATACATATTTGAATCGCCAAAGAAAGCTTCCTTTTATCAAAGCAAGCTTTGGCATCATTGTAACTGACAAAGGAGTACCGAATGAAGATAGGAAAAGCCAAATGCACGTAGAGAAGCAAAAATAGTTCACCAAATTGAATTGACCAGTGGAAAAAATCATTATTTTTCCCTCGTCAGGATTTATTTGGACTTGTTCTTTTGTTTTTGGTAGAAAACTAATTTTCCGAGAAGCTACATGTCAATAGGTAGTTTCCTATTATTTCCGACCTTTCAACAGGCAAAAGCTAGCGATTATATAGCCTTTGTTTGACCGATTTTTACTTCAAGTATAGATTTTGTACTCTTTACTTGCTAATTTTCATGTTTTTTTTTTGTAAATGACAAATAGATCAAAGATTTTCAATAATAAGCTGAAAACCTGCTGAGTTTTCATAAACTCATTCATTTTTGAGCTCGAAAGCAACGCTGAAACGTGAATTTTCCGTAATTGAAGCGAAAAGTTTATTTATTCCAAATGAGATCTTAATAAGTGCCTATTTATCGGAATCTTTTTTCAGCTTTAAGATCTGAAGCAAAATAGTTTATTTTGTTTATAAAATGAGAGCACAAACATCAGTATTAAATATTATTTTCGAAGATGTTGAATCAAATAATAGGCTCCAATAGAAAAGGCAGCTGTGAGGAGAATAAAGATCACGCAAAATAATCCCCAAAGAAAATAACGAAAATAGAGACGAGTGGATTCAACCTGAAAATGAATGAATCTAGGGGTTTAGCTTGGTTATTAAAAAAACTTTGTTATTGGGTTGGTGAATTGAAAACTGCGGGCCATTATCATATGTCACAGTTTGAGCACTTTCTTCAAGAGAAACCCATTTTGACGTCAATAGAAAAGTTGTAGAAAATCAAAAATTAGGCTTATAGCCAAATTTCCAAAAAGATACACTTAGTAGTTTCGCTTAAAATGTAAGTTTTGTGAAAATTCGTAAATTTGGCATTTCTTGAAAACCAGTTTTTGAATCATTCTGAAAATTTGGATACAAGCTTCATTTTTGATTCTCTACAGCTTTTCCATTGACACCAAAATGGGTTTCTTTTGAAGAAAGTGCTCAAACCGTCACATATTATAATGGCCCGCAGTTTTCAATTCACCAACCCAATATTTAAGGCAGAATTCAACAGAACTGATTAGATAACGAAAGGAGTTTCTTTTATAATATAACAAGTTATTAGTTAAGAAACGCAAAGAGGACGAGTTAGATCTAATTTAGTTACCGGGATTTTGAGCTGATAGAGGGTACTGATTCGGTTCAAGTCGATTAATCGGTTTATCGATTTGGGTTGTGAGATCCAAATCGATGGGTTTAAACCGACTATTGGCGTAACTAGCGTAGGATAGGCCTTTAGGATTAAACGAGATCTAATCTATTGGGTTGGCGATCTAATCGATTGGGCTAGTGCGTATGAAGTTTCCGAATTTTTATCAGTCTCCCATTTTCTTATTTTCCCATGGATTCTTTTGTTCTTTTGGACTTTAGAGAGAACTTCAAATTTATTTGTTTTTAAGTTTGAAAGAGTCCTATGGAGGAACAGCTGAGAACCGTTGTCGACAAAGTGACCCACACTCAAAGTCCAATCAGATCCGTATTTCACCGTGAATTTGTCCCTCTTTTAAGCTTACAAAGAGAAGAGTTAAATGCTACTATTTGTAAAATTTGAACAAAATGGTGAAATGACAAAAATAGGCATTAAAGTAAAAAGATTGTCTCCTCTAGGAGTCGAACCTGTGGTTTTCCAAGATACTAACCACTTGATTAAAAGTGCAATTAGATCTATGCAATTAGATCCCAATAGATTAGATCTCGTTTAATCCTAAATGCCTATCCTAAGCTAGTTAGGCCAATAGTCGGTTTAAACCCATCGATTTGGATATCAAAACCCAAATCGATGAACCGATTAATCGACTTGAACCGAATCAGTACCCTCTATCAGCTCAAAATCCCGGTAACTAAACTAGATCTAACTTGTCCTCTTTGCGTTTCTTGACTAATAACTTGTTATATTATAAAAGAAACTCCTTTCGTTATCTAACTAGTTTTGTTGAATTCTGCCTTAATTACAATTTACCAACGTTTAGTAATTCAAACGAGTTAAAAGAACCTGAATCGATCTCTTGCAAAAGACCGACTTGCAAAGTATTGGGTTGGGGAGAATGAGTCGGCGCCCCACTTTAAAGGGACTTTTTGCACACATAAAGCCTTCTTTAAACATACGTTTGGTTTCATCAAAAGGATCCACTATTTCTCTACAAAATCACTTTTGAGAGATTCCACAAAGCTTTTCTTTCGTGGAGTTTCTGAAATTCCAAACGCAGCTGGTTAAAATGGCAAAGAGTCCGACTCATCATTTGAACAGTTTCTTTCACATAAACCTTCTTTGGTGTTTATATAAAAAAAATAGAGCACATTCAATTACTTAAGTTGCCAAATTTGCAGGAAGATCCCACCAATGGTTTTTTCTAGATCACAGTTTGTAGTTTTTGTGAAAAAATGGCTTTTTCTTGACCGGAGGCGCTGTTTGAATTTTCTTTTAAATGTCATTTTGTAGAGAATTAGTTAACCATTCTACTGATATCAAACGCATATTGTTTGACGAAGTCTGCTAGAAGTTTTAGACATTTTTTTGATTTTCGGCGCCGACTCATTCTCCCCAACCCAATAGTTTTAGCAAATTTGTTCAATAATAAGTTATCAACTTCTTAATTAACAACTCATTATCAGCTGAAAAGTTTACAAAACTGACAAGGAGCCTATAACAACTACTCAAATTCTCCAGTTGAGCAAAACTTTTAGTGGTTGATGGAATATTTCAGATTAAGAAATCTTACAAAATTGAAAAGGTATATTTGTTACTGCCACAGGGCAGTTGTCTAGTGCGTTTTTCGTGTCTAGTAGTCTAGTATCAGTACGTTTCTCGTTAAGGATAAGAAAAACACATATTGTCTGTAAAGTACGTAACTTTACAAACCCACCGCTCGATCATGTGCTTCACTCCAATGTCTTTGAGTGTCCTTGAATTCTCCTATTAAATCGTCAATTTCCTTCCGAGATTGATCAAATTTATCAATGAGATTTTCTTGTCCAATATCAGCCCAAGATAATAATTGTTGGTTAGAGTTTAGAGATTGATTCTTTTGCCGTTCACAGTCAGACATTTTCCAATAATCAGAATTGAATAGATTAATTTATTCAGTTGCGTGTCTTATCAATAAGCGGGGGACAAAACCCTTATCAGACTTGAAGAAAAAATGAACGGAAGCTCTCCTATCCTTCTTTGATTTGCGCTTAACTCAAAAGATCAATCACTCATTATTTCGAAGCTTTATTTACAAAGACTTTGAGGTAAATGAATCCTCTAGGATTCACTAGGATTCACTCGGATCCAAGTTAATTCTTTAGGATTCACTACGATCCTAGTGAATTTCGAAAAATTCACAATTCAAAGTGTGGATTTTATCCCAATGAGTTGTTATGGAGAAAAAGCCCAAACCAGGAACATCAGGAAATATCATCAGGAATCATCAGGAACAGTATCAGCAGGAACAGGCCCATTCAACCTCAGTGAGAACGATTTTATGAAATCCTTTTCAAAAAGAATAAACTATTAAAAAGTATAGTTTTTTACTTTGTAATCTAATTTTTGCACTGGACTTATGCCAATCAAACAACCATCGGAGTCATATGTTATGTCTTATAAGATTTAATAAAAAGTATGTATAAGTCAAGAAAGTATTTATTATTTGCCCAGTGGGAAACAGATAAACACAGAAAGAGATAATTATTGGACTTATAAATAAAATAGAGCCTGAAATTCAAAAACCTTACTTTAATTGAGGCCGAGACTTTTATTAAAAGCTGTTCTTTCCAAAACGTAAACAATTTTTAAATCTAAAACATAAATCTAAAAAAGGAAGGAGACAAATCAAGTTTGCAAATTTATACACATTAGTTTATTGAAGTTTAGTTTATCTCAGTCATGACCGTCATCTAGGGCTTCGAACAAACAACCCGGTCAAAGGGTATCCATACACGAGTGCAAAATCAACTTGCAAGTAACAGTTTAAAGTTAAATAAATGTCCAGTTATCAAATGCCCAGTTATCAAATGTCCAGTTATCAAATGCCCAGTTATCAAATGTCCAGTTATCAAATGTCCAGTTATCAAATGCCCAGTTATCAAATATCCAATAACCGAACTGATAGATTGACTTTTGCAGAACTGGTGACCATAGTTATAATTCAGGAAATTGTCCCCAGAAAGCGCATGATTTCTTGTGACAGATCCTCGATGTTCTACGAGAAAGTTGAGAGCTCAATGAGTCGATTTAATAGATTCTCATTCAAAAAAGCGAACTTTGTATGGTTGAAAGTCTAGATAGTTTCATTTTCCCACCATGATAAACCAAAATAATTGCTCAATCTAGAAAGATGAGTATCTTCAAGCATTTGCATTTGTTTGCCAAATTGCTCGTTGTAAGCGTTTTGAAACTCAAAAAATTACAAAATTTGCAATTTTTTAAAAACTTCCCAAAGAGTCTCCAAAGTTTTGTAATTCTGTAATTTAAAACTGACTGACTTTTGAATTCTAAAACTTAAAACTGACAGGTGTATTCAAACAATTCCTTCAGAACCGTCAAACGAAATCTGTTTTCAGTTTGTTCGTCAGTCTCAAGTGGCCTTTGCTGGGTTTCCCATCGCAGATGTCGGTGTTGACGTGTAACGAAAACGGGACATGGGACTTATGCCAATCAAACAACCATCGGAGTCATATGTTATGTCTTATAAGATTTAATAAAAAGTATGTATAAGTGAAGAAAGTATTTATTATTTGCCCAGTGGGAAACAGATAAACACAGAAAGAGATAAGTATTGTACTTATAAATGGAGCCTGAAACTGAAAAACCTTACTGCCTTTAATTGAGGCCGTGACTTTTATTAAAAGTTGTACTTTCCAAAATGTAATTTATTTACAATTTATAAATCTACCGTAAAATATAAATCTAATTTTGTACGATCAACTTGCTTTTTATCCCAAGACATTGAGTATTTCCTAACCAACTTTTAGTAGTCGCATGTACACCAAAAACTTTTTTTAGTAACGCTTGAAACGGACGACGACGGTTGCTCGATGATGGTGCTTATCTGTGCCGTGACTAACTCCTCTCAATTTGGCGCTATTGGGTACTTGAGTACTAGAGACCACAGTACTTGAGGCTTTATGGAATCTAAAACTGACTGGCTTTTGTATTCTAAAACTTAAAACTAGCAGGTGCACTCAAACAATTTCTTCATAACTTTTAATAGAATTGTGTTTTCAGTTTGTTCGTCAGTCTCAAGTGGCCTTTGCCGTTGTATTGGCCGTCCCATTGCAGATGTCGGTGTTGGCGTGTAACGAAAACTTGTTGAAGTTGACGTGGGACTTATGCAAATCAAACAACTATCGGAGTCATATGTTATGTCTTATAAGATTTAATAAAAAGTAAAGTATAAGTGAAGAAAGTATTTATTATTTGCCCAGTGGGAAACAGAAAAGTATTGGACTTCTAAATAAAATAGAGCCGGAGATTCAAAAACCTTACTGCCTTTAATTACTGCAATGAGGCCAAGACTTTTATTAAAAGCTGTACTTTCCAAAATGTAATTTATTTACAATTTATAAATTTACCGTAAAATATAAAACTAATTTTGTACGATCAACTCCCTTTTAACCAAAGATATTGCGATCCCTCACCGAACGAGCTCAAAATCAAGTTGATCAGACAAAGTTTTGGATAAAAGACTACGATCGATTCTAAAATAGCTACATTTTAGACTAAGACTAAAGGCAATACCGGAGGCAATAGCATTTTTCATGACAATTACCCAAAACGAATTTTTCATCAACGAAAATCACTCGGGCTCAATCATTATTGTCCAATTTGAATAGGTTAGAGCAAATTGAAGGCGTTGCCTTCTGTGTTTGGCTGTCATCATAGGCTTGCGAGCAGGTCTTTTAGCATGCAATGCTGCTTGAAGCAAGCGTCGATGCAAGGCCCAGCGGTCCAGTCATATCCCTGGGCCATTTTTTGGGTCCACCAGATCAGAACTTCGTTAACTTTCTTTAGCAATACGGTGCACAGTCTATTTGGTCACATTTCACTTTGTAAACGACCGAGCCTTTGTGAAGCCCAATTTTGTCTAGGCAAGTTTGCTTCTCTGCAAAAGATCTTGCAAAAGAGTTTACTATTATTCTTATTGCTATTAAATTATATTAAATGTCATTTTCTCATCTCATTTCTCAATAAACATCGAAAATCCCAATATTTTATTAAGAAAAGTGTCAAAAATGACAGATGCCGACTCGGTGAGAGGACTTGAGCTCATTCAAGAGCTTGTAAAATGAGTTGTATAATTCCAATTGAGAAGTTCTTTGTAGAAAAGTTAGGCCAAGATAAAGGGCTTTATTTTTCTATATAACACTTGGCACTTTGGTAATAAGTCGGGCATTTGAGAGCAATTTTTCGAAAAGAGGTGACGCCATAGTTTGTTGTGGTCACTCGATACAGCACTACACTACGTCTGTTTTAGATAACACAAAACAAAACATGTAGTTTTGTTCCTCGAGACAAGATTTTATATATTATTCACACAAAATATGACTTCCGAATGTATAATTCTCTTCAAAAAAGCACAAAACACAAGACTACACATGTCTTCTGATTTGTGCTACATGATGTAAAAATGATAAGAGCAAGTTGGCTTGTTCTATTTAAAAAAGCTAAATACCTTCTATCAATTTATTCACTATATTTATTGATCGCTTTATCACAATCCTCTGTCGTTTTATCACAGGATTTTGACTTCCAACCTGGTTAGTTTGGAGTTTGCCTTGAACCAATTATCAGTTGTACTATTCTATCCAAAAAAGCGAACTTTGAACTGAATTACCTCGAAAGTTGTGATAGCTTGCGGTGGTCGTTACGGTGAATATTTTGGTCTTACAAATTGTTGATATTTGTTCAGATTTGGACAAATTTGTGATACTTGTACATGAATTTTTCTTGACCTCATCGGAGCTGGTCAAAACCGCGAAAATAACCCCTCCGCGGTTAAGTTTCTATATGTTTCTTATTCTTATTGGATGCAAAACAAAATTTTCGACATTTTGCATACTTTGAGATCACTTAAAACAGAATTGGTGTCGAGAAAAGCTCAGTCTCAGCTCAATTAATCTCTCTTTAAACCCTTTTTCGTTTTTTTGGCATTTTCTCATCCCAGATTTGTTCTAAAAGGCTCCAAAAAGTTAAGCCGATAGCTAATTTTTCTTCTATATTCAATGAAAATAAGAAACACAAATAAACTTAATTGTAAACGCATTATTTTTGCTGGCGCTGTTTGTACACGGCGCTGTTTTAAGCAGCTCCCGTGACCGTAGCCACCACAGAGTCAGATTTTGGAGATGTCTTGGGATATCCAAATTTTAATCCGTTGGAATTGTGCATAATACATTTATTATTGTATTTAGAAAGTTTCATTTGAAATGGTCAATTGGAAACAAATTTTGGCTCTTTTAACTTAGCGGGGATTTTTGACCATTTTAGACTTATTTCTTGGTTTTTAACGTTTTGCTCATGTGCTCATGTGAATGAAATTAGTCTTGTTTTTCCCAGTCTTGTTTAAATCTTTGCGTAATTATTCTATTTAGATCATTTAGTTAGATAGCTATGGTTTACCTAAAAGCACATGAGTACTCTCCGTTGCTACCTATTTTTGTCAATAAATTGTGTTAAAAATTCCAACAAGCACATGAGTAAGACGTTAAAAACCGAGAAATAAGTCTAAAATGGCCAAAAGTCCCCTCTAAGTTACAAAAGCCCAAATTTTTGTGGCACCAAAGTTTAAGTGAGTACTTTTCGAGTTTACCCACGAATTTTTTCCCTAATGGACTGTTGGGAACGAAACTTTTCGGATACAATCATAACAGTGGTATACACAATTTCAAAGGATTAGCTTAGCACCAGAAACGTAAGGAATCAACAATTAGGTATCTTTGGATATGAGTTTTAGTTTAATTTTGAGCTAACCAGTAAATTAATCAGACAAATTTGTCTAGAGCGATCATTTTGTTTTTTAGAAAAAAAATTAAACTAACAAAACTCACTTGTTTTTCATACCGTTCTCTTGGTCAGATAGTTTTCCGTAATCTCCTTTTCCTTGGCAATATCCTGACAATATCCTGACAATATCCTGACAATGACAATCCATCCACTCTCAGGTTCACGTGAAACTGATAACTTTTGCGTAATTTTAGAGAAGTTGACAAATCCAGAAGTGATAAATAGGCAAGAAACCCAGATTTTCTGACACTCATCTTTTGCTTTTTGGCTTTATGTAAACAAAAAAAGTATCGATCCATGAAAATTAAAAAAAAAACTTGAAAATAACATATAAAAAAACTTAATTAATCCTATTTTGGCTTTCCGTCTTTGGATCTGATAGTAAGATTATTACGCTTTACAAGCTTATTTTAAGATAAAATGCGTGCACTTCTCCTCACCTCATTCGCTCTATTCGGAGTTGCTTGGACGGTATGTTTAAGAAAATTTAGTTCTGTTTTCCTTGGAAATAATCATTTCTCAAATTTGTTTCCAATTGACCATTTAGAATAAAACTTTCTGGATACAATAATAAAAGTATTAGGTTGTCCAATAAGTAATGCGTGTTTTGACACGATTTTCAAAATATCACAAAATGAACAAAAGAGAACTTTATTAATCGATATATTCTCCACAACAATCAACAACATTTCTCCATCGTCCGAGCAAAGAGTGAAGTCCGTCATAATAGAATGAAGCTGGTTTCGATGAGAAGAAATCGTGTCAAAACACGCATTACTTATTGGACAACCTAATATTATACACAATTCTGTTTTCCTTGGAAATAATCATTTTTCAAGAAACTCCCTAAAAATTATATGAAATGAATGGATTTGGTTGTTTGCTTATTTCAAATTTGAAAACTAATTCGACTTGTTTTGTAGCTTATTATCAGTTTATCTATGCTTGGTTTGATCGAAGAATTTGTGTATTGATATTATGCAAAGTAATATAACAAGGATTCAAATAGAAATTTTCGGTAATTTTTAATTTTGCTTTCACATAAATTTGTAGTGCATCAATTCAAACAACTCCTCCTTTTCATGATAAGTTCCAGAAGTCCACTCTTGCGTTCAGGTGTAGATAAAACGAAGTATCGCAAGGAAATGAAGGCGACTGTTTTCAAACCAGGTGCCTTTTCGTCTTTCAATCTCTGTTTGACAACCAGACTTTCCACATCGCCACCAATCGTCGTATAACTTTATTGTATGTCCTTGAGCACACATCCGTAAAGTCGAAAGAAGTTGCTTGTCTTGGAAAAAGGAGATCGCCTTGTCATTCGATGAAAACAACACATAGATCAACATCGTTGTGATCGTGATTTAAGTGGTAGTTGTCCTTGTGCTGATCTTACTCGTTATCGTAGTGGTTCTGCTGGTAGTTGGACAACGTAAATGGACAAATAACAAACCGCCAAAGTCTCTTGACGTCTCTTGTCGCGAAGTCTCTTGTCGCGAAGTCGCTTGTCTTGGAAAAAGGAGATCGCCTTGTCTTCAGATGTTGGAAGAAGAAAAGAAAAACGGAAAAACATAAGAAGCAGCCGAGAATACAGATAACAAGAATCAGAAATGACGATTGGCACTGCTTGGAAATGCGCATCAAAGTTTGTATGCAAATATTAGCTATTCCAACAAATTAAAATGCAAATTTTGTAAGCTTTATTTGAATTGATGCATGACAGCTTTTGTCAGGGGTATAATTGAAAAGAACCAAATTTTCTGTTCCTTACACATGGACTCTTTAATGTAAAATTTTCAGCAAACAACGAGTCGGCCAGTAGATCCATGCTCAATGTGCGAGTTTGTCGTTAATCAGGTGGGGAAACTCCAAAGATATGCAGTTATAAAATTCAACTGTTTGGATATGATATCTTATATATACTTTGAGTCCATTAGAACACTGTTTTACCCTATAAGTAAAGCCTTCAGGCCTACAGTCACTTCAACAAACGCGAGAGCAAATGGCGTGTCGAAGAAGAGCTGCTCAATGTAAGCTCGTAAAAAACGGTACTTTCCTATTATAGCCATTACCATCTTTTTACTTTGCATGAGGTCTCAAATTTTCTCGAATTCCTCAAAATGTTTCAAACTCCAAATTCATCAATATAGTCTTTTTGATAACGCTTTTATATATTTCAGACTTTGATGTATGTGTTACGTCTGATCTAGACTGTTTCTGGATCGAACGTCCGATCTTGAGTGAAGTGAGATCAAACGTCCGATCTAGAATCAAGCCGATCAGTCCAAATCTAAGTCTGGATCGGATGTCTGATTTAGAGTGATCGGCTTGATCCTAGATCGGACGTTTGCCCTCACTTCACTTTAGATCGAACGTCCGATCCAGAATCAGTCTAGATTGGACGTAACATCTATTAGGTTGATGCATAAGTCTTTTCGTTCCTTTTCGTCTGCCGTTTCAAGCCAACAAATGCACGAATTAAACTACGGTTGATTTCATTAGAAAAACCAATTATTTTTCTGCAAAATAACATTAAAACGGGTTTAAAAATATTTTATGCCTGGATTTTCTTGAGAGTATGAAGTCGGGTAGTCAAAAAGGGCTAACTCGATGATGCGGTTTAGACACCTTAGCTAAAGAAAACCTATCTTCGTGTCAATAGATAAAAGATAGAGAAAAAAAAGTTTGATATTTCGCCAAAATTTCAGAGAAATTCATTCAGCCAATTTTTCCGTAGAGTTTTGTTATAGATTTTTACGAAAAAGGCGTTTTTCACTCTCGAATTTGCTTGAAAGTGAACCGAAATTGATTTTAAAAGATGGAAATTGAACAAAAAAAACACTTTTTTTATAGAGCAAACTATAGATTAATTGGTGAATTTGTTACTTTTTAACAGAAGTACGAAAAAAACGAAAAGACTTATGCATCAACCTAATACATGTTGTATGCAAATTGCAAACAAGCATATGTGCAGGTAGTGGCTATAACAGGAAAGTACCTAAAAACCTAGCTGTGTGCCTAGCTTTTCTGTGTTTAGGATTGCAATAGTTTGCAAAGATTCTACGGTTTTCAAGCGGTGAGAGATTGTCAGGGATGGATCAAAACAAACATTGATGTCATCTACAACGACATGGAAAATAGTTGCGTGATTTGAAATGACCACAAAGGCCTAAAAGAACAAAGAGAATGGAATTTGCATTACATACAACAATTCACAAAGAGAATGGAATCGGATTTAATCTAAATCTAGAGTAAATTACAGACAAAACACCCCAACAGATTTGCACGGATATGGGAGAATGTGGGGCCACTGTCAAGAGCACCGCAGTCACTGCTGCTGCTGCAATCACCACAACCACCACAGTCCTGACAACTCCTACCACTACTACTCTCACAACCATCCCAGTGGACCTATGTGCCGTTTGTATAGGAGTTATTGATAAAGTAAGGATAAATGCAAAACAAAGCATAATAAGTCAAGACTGGACCTTGATAATTTCAGTTTTTATTTATAGCTAAAATTTACATACGAACTTTAACTCTCATAAAGAAACAACCAGTTTCCTTTGGAGCAATTGTTTATCACATAACCAAATCTCATTTCATAATTAACCTTAATAATACGTAATATGGTATTTTGGGTTTGATTATGAACCTAAAAACATCAAAAGAAAGGCTTAACAATCTTTTATGGTTATGAAAAATTCGAATTTCTAGACCCGAAACAGTGGTGTTGATGTTACTGATGAGGCTGCTTTGCTAATCGAGTTGCTCGGCGTAAGTTTTTTAATTTCTTATTTGTTTCTTGGGTTTTGGCAATATGCTTAAACTGCTTCCAGGATTGCCAAAGCCCTTGTACCACAGTATGGTCAAACGGTGTCGACAAATTGCGTCCAGGCCGTCAGCCAGTACATCTTCCAAATCACCACCGATCTTGGCAACAGTAGGCTTTTTAGAGTTTTAGCAAAATGATATAGATTAACTCAATCTGAACTGATTTTAGAGTAATTCAAATTCAATTTTTGAAATTCTCATGTACTCATTCTCATTTTCGCTTTCAGACGCATCTTCTCAACAAGTGTGCAAGGACATGAAGCAATGTTTATAAAATCAAATCGAATGAATAAACTATTTCGAATTTATTCGAATGAATAAACTTCTATTCGACTTCGTTAAATCATATGCGTTTGATATCAGTAGAATGTTTAACTAATTCTCTACAAAATGACATTTAAAAGAAAATTCAAACAGCGCCTCCGCTCAAGAAAAAGCCATTTTTTCACAAAAACTACAAACTGTGATCTAGAAAAAACCATTGGTGGGATCTTCCTGCAAATTTGGCAACTTAAGTAATTGAATGTGCTCTAGCTTTTTTATATAAACACCAAAGAAGGTTTATGTGAAAGAAACTGTTCAAATGATGAGTCGGACTCTTTGCCATTTTAACCAGCTGCGTTTGGAAGTTCATAAACTCCACGAAAGAAAAGCTTTGTGGAATCTCTCAAAAGCCATTTTGTAAAGAAATAGTGGACCATTTTGATGAAACAAAACGTGTATTTGAAGAAGGTTTTATGGGTGCAAAAAGTTTCTTTAAATTTCGGCGCCGACTCATTCTCCCCAACCCAATATTTTGATCGTTGATTGGATATGGTTTAATAAAAAATTTTCTTTGAAAAAGACATAACAAGAATCAGTCGTTCAATGACATACATGGTGATAGACGCATAGACAAACGATTTGCAAAACTATAATATTCAAAAATTGTTACTTGCCCAAGTGTTTACCTTTAGCAAGAGCCAAACTTCCAGCAAGATCTGCCTCTCAGCTTTGAGAAAGAGAAAGTTCAGTTTACATATTTCTATTTCACAAAACGACCAAACGTTTAGACCCTGTCCGGGATCGAACCTGCCTCTTTCCAGCCGCCCATTCGCCTAGCACTCGCGCCTCTCATCCACTGCGGCAATGGGGTGGAGAGGGGATGTGGTTAAAACACCACCAAATAGAAAACGTTTAAAACAGCGCCGTTGATTCTACTATATAAAATAGAAGAGAAGTCCGTCTGCTTGTGCGCAAACGCGACGCTCCATAATCACATTTGCTTCATTGGTTAAACGGCAAAGTATTCAACTTTTGCGCGCGTTATTTTGCTTCCGGGGGTTTTCGGAATATAGGGAATCTGTCTTTTGCGTCTTATTTTAAGAAGGAGTGGGGCTTTACATCGGTTACGGTAGTTCTCCCCAGCGGAAAACGCGAACGAATTGAGCGTTTTCCGCTGGCTTCTAACATTTCGCAATAGATCACTATATGCTTGCAAATCTGACACGTTCACATAATAAATGAAAGTATTATACTGGTTTTAAAAGCTAACACATATCAGCTGTCAGCAGTCAAGCTGTCAGAATCAAACAGCTGAATTGTCCGACCCGGTTGAACCTGAACCGAGCGATCCATTTGTAAAGGAAAGTGATCGTAAGACTCAACAAGTCAATATAATCATACTTGAACCTCAAAAAAACACTAAAACTTTATTCACATGCTGTTCTCAAAAATTTTAATGTGGAATAAAGATAAATAATAAACAAAAATACTTTGTTGACAACTTCAATTTGGCAAAATTTCTTGGAAAACAAGTGCCGTTCTCGACAGAAATGACAGCGATTTGCTGCAAGGGAAATGGGTTTTCTTTGAGCTAAAAATGATCATTGATCCAAGAAATCTAGAAATTAAGAAATCCAATGATTATTATATCATTGTAATCTAGAATATTTCGTATCTCTTTTAAAATGTTCAACGGAAATGTAATATCTATAAAAATCGTTGATCCTATTTTTGTTTCCTGATAAAATCATAATCAATTTCCCTTTAGTTTCCGTAAAAGTTGATCTTGGTCAACGAATTTTGTGTGAATTTTCATCAAAAAGGATGTTAAAAAGTTTATGATATCCTACTTGTTGCATTGCTGTCTAGATTTATTAGTAAACAAGAAATATAGACCATTTTGCACCTAAAACAGTTCACAAGAGATTTGGACCTGAAATTGTGTGCCTTATTTTTAAACTATTAGGTTGGTGAATTGAAAACTGCCAGCTATTAAAACTCGCAGATAAAAAAAAACAACAGCATTGAACCAGCTGAAAGGGGGTTTGTTTACTTCAACATTTGCTCAAATTATTGCGAAAAAATTATGCTTTCAGCTTTTTATTTTTTGGTATTTTTCTTCACTTCTTCTATTGCACTCGACAATCTGCCACAGACAAATCTGTCATGCTTCATGAGTTCTTACAAGAGCACAGTGCAGGCTTGGCAGCTGCTAATATTAAAAAGATATATGGGGAGGACTCATCTTCCCAAAGAACGTGTCGAGTATGGTTTGCCAAGTTTCGATCTGGGAACAAATCTTTGAAAGATGCAGAGGGCCGTAGAGCGGCACCCCAACTGGATGATTCCAAATTACTCGAACTCATTACCAACGACCATCGGGTGTCATCGCGTGAATTGGGAGAAGAGTTCGCGGGTGATCAGGCTACAGTGCTAAAGCACCTTCATACCCTTGGATTTAAATCGAAACTTGAGGCTTAGGTGCCCCATGATCTCAATAACTCCCGGAAGTGGCAGCGCGCCTCGATCAGTGCCGTCTCACGCAATACAAAAGGAAATCTTTTCTATTGTGGTAGGAGATGAGAAATGGGTTTTGTCTATGAACTTTCAGAGGGAGTGGCAATGGGTGGGGCCAGGCGAGAAACCCGAAAGTGACCCTAAGCCCGATTTGCACCAGAAGAAGTTTATGCTCTGCGTTTTCTGGGATATGGAGTGAGTGGTGCACTGGGAGTTGCTGGATAGCAAGACGACCGTTGATGCAATCAAATACAGTCAACAGTTGGGAAAGGTGAATGAATCCCTAAAGAAGAATAGGCCTTCCAAGTTAAAGATCGTTCTCATCCACGACAACGCGCGCCATGTTGAAAAACTGACTCGCTCTAAAATAAATTGATTGGAAACTTTTGGAGCATTCCCCATACAGTCCGGACCTCGCCCCTTTTGATTACTATTTATTCCGGATCATGAGTAATGAGCTTGCGGGAGAACACTTCGATTCGGAAGAAGCAGTGAAAAATTAGCTTGAAAAGTTTTTCGATTAAAAACCAAAATCCGACCACGAAAGAGAAATCCGCAAATTGCCTGTAAAATGGACAAAAGTCGTCAATAATAATGGAAATTATTTGGAATGAATTCATGGTTTTATGTTGAATAAATTTTAGTGCAAAGTGCGGCAGTTTTCAATTCACCAACCCAATAGTTCAAATTAAAATACGCAATCGTCTTTAGAAATTGAACTTTTATTTATCTAATATGTCGAATCATATAAATAGGCTCGTGTCATGTCATATCAGGAGATAAGTGTCAAAAAATTGTTCAAAATCAGGGTTTTTGGTGAAGGGGCACTCAAAAAAGCTTCTTTTCTTTGTCGTTTACACTGTAAACTCCATTTTGAAAGTGTATTTGTTTACAAAACCCAGAAAAGTTTATTTAAAGCATACATCTATCTCTTGTGATATATAATCTTTCACTAGTAAATGGTACTTTCTATATAAAATTGTAAGTAAATGCGCATTCAACTACTAAACAATAAGAAAAACATCACGTTTTTCTGTCCAACAATTCGTATATTTTATCGATTGCCATTTGGAAGGTTGCCTAGAATTTGAGCGTTTTTGAAAGGCTGAATCAACTTTATTATGATTAGTACATATAGGACAGATACTGGTTAGATTACCGTATTCTCTCTAATCGTAGTGCACCCTAAGCTTTGCCTAAATTTCTCGAAATCTCGAGAACCGCTTATCAGAACCTATCGATGTGCGATCGGAAAATGAAGCTGACGATGAGATCTTATAGGGGATTAGATCTGCGAAAACTTCGAAACCGTAAAATAGTCATCAACTCGGCTCGCCGGGGTGCACTACTATTAGAGAAATACGGTATTAACACTTTTATAGATTAGCCAGTGGTTTCAAAACCGCTGGAAGGTCGGAGTCCCAATCGGTCGAGATTATCACTAATGATTATCGCCAGATTATCACCAAAGCCTGTTCCATACCCTCTTTCTTTTCTACAATAGCCAAGTCTTGCCCCGTTTCAGTCTACTATTTCCCGACTTTATCGCATCCCAATCCTTCTCACCGCTATTTCCTCTAACCACTTCGATCCATCTTCTAACCACTTCGATTTCCTCATAACTCACCAATACCCACCTCATTCATTCCCTTTTAACCTCTTCAGCTTTTACCATTCACCCCTCCCACCCTTTTATCTCATTCCCTCAATTAAACCTACCAATTCTCCCTTTTATATATAGTAAATCACAGATGTACCTCCATTCGATTTCTAGCAAAAGTTTGAGGATGTCTGCCATCCCAGGTGAACAAAAACTCATTGCATTCGTAGTCATACACATCACACGTCACTCTAAAATCCATTTTAAAGTACATTTGTCATTAACCAACCCATCCTCACAAAATGGTGACTGAACATCAATGAAATGAACATTTGACATGTTCTTCGTCACCTCGTCAAAAAGTCTCAAAATGGGACCAACTTGACGAATGTAATCCTGCAAAATTATGTAGTTTGATTAGTACTTTAGTAAAAACAAATTCCGGTATGGATCAAGTTGACCGGAGTTAATCGCCTCTGGAGTAACGGAGAGTAAGTGCGTTGTGGTGTAATGGTTAGCATATTTTCCCAGTAAGTGAAAGGTCGCGGGTTCAAGTCCCGGCTGCGCACAAGTTTTGATCTGCCCTAGTTTCAACTCTGGTTCAACTACTAACCAAATAATCTTATCTGCTAGGTCTGTATAACGGGAAAAACGCTTCCATAAGTAAAAAGTCTTTTTATCAATAAAATAAGATTCAACTGCTCACCTTATACAGGTACATGGTCTCATTCCTTGGTGGAAACACTTTGTGTGATAATCGAATATAGTTGTGTGCCCTTTTATCGGATAAATAATACATTGGAGATGTGATCAGTAGCACTTCGGTGGCATTTCTGAAAATGGAGAACAGAATGCACATTCTTTACACAGATAGACCTGAGTCTCCAGATACGTTCTCTAGCCGTTGGCAGCATTTCGTCCCAATGATCTCTCGCTAGCTGGTTTGGTAAACCGAGGCTAAACTTTGAGCTAAGTAGTAAAGCAAGGCGCAGTTAAAGTCAATCAGTACTTATTGTGAGTCAAATTATGGACAATGATCAGGGTTGGGCCAGAGCAAGAGCAAGCAAGGCAGGCGGGCCGGCCTGCCTGCCTGGTCCGGCGCCGGACCAGGTCAAAACAGAGCGGGCTACGCTACGCCAGAAGTTCTCCCGGCTCTTCTGTAATTTTCGGGATTTTTAAATGTTTTACTTAATTTTCTATAAATTTATGGTTAACAAAGTCAATTTATTTTGACTGGCAGTTACACTGTTGGCATTTCTCTATACCTCCGCTTCTCTCTTTAATACCTATGGCAAAGCAGATAAGTTAAGCATACAGATAAAACTGTTGAGACTGATGTTTGTTGGTGTCAATACATAGCGCCAAAAAATCAGATTTCTTGGCATTCACATTTTTTATTTGATTTTATTTGCTATTCGTGCTGGTCGTGTATTGAAGCCAACCATTCTACCAAAAGGAATTGAGCCTCAACCTGCAATTGAACTTATCAACGATTATCTGACCGAAGCTATTGGGTTGGGGAGAATGAGTCGGCGCCGAAAATCAAAAAAATGTCTAAAACTTCTTTGTTTTAGACATTTAGATTTTAGACAAAATGTCTAAAACTTTGTCAAATAATATGCGTTTGATATCAGTAGAATGGTTAACTAATTCTCTACAAAATGACATTTAAAAGAAAATTCAAACAGCGCCTCCGCTCAAGAAAAAGCCATTTTTTCACAAAAACTACAAACTGTGATCTAGAAAAAACCATTGGTGGGATCTTCCTGCAAATTTGGCAACTTAAGTAATTGAATGTGCTCTATCTTTTTTATATAAACACCAAAGAAGGTTTATGTGAAAGAAACTGTTCAAATGATGAGTCGGACTCTTTGCCATTTTAACCAGCTGCGTTTGGAAGTTCATAAACTCCACGAAAGAAAGCTCTGTGGAATCTCTCAAAAGTCATTTTGTAGATAAATAGTGGATCCTTTTGATGAAACAAAACGTATGTTTAAAGAAGGCTTTATGTGTGCAAAAAGTCCCTTTAAAGTTGGGCGCCGACTCATTCTCCCCAACCCAATACTTTAGACACAATTTTTGGAGGAGTGCATGAATTAGAGAAAGAAAACGACGGTGCGTTTCAATTTTCTGCTTATCATTCTTTCATTGCCAACGAGCGCAATTGGGATTCAAAGGATGACTCTTATTAAAGATTCGAGCAAAGGAAAGACTTGAAGAAACCCTAAGTATTCTAGTATTTGAATAAACTCAAAAACCTCGAACATACAAGCGTGAGTGAAAAAGGTGAGTATCATCAAAAGTCCTGAAAATTACCCAAGAGCCGTTCTCCCCGCTGGGGCAAGCCAAACCAGACTTCGCCCTTGACCCGGATCAACTCTTCTGACACGACATACAGTCGTCAAAAAGTCGCGGTGTGACCCATTTTAACCATATCATCGGGGATAATTTTGTTTCAGAATAACCGAGCAGCACAAAAGATTAAATGGGTTTTCCCAAAACGCTCACAATAAAACAAGAACACGCAAAATTCAGCATGTGATACGAGTGATACGAGTACAAAACGGATTGACGCTTCGTCGATGGTAACACAAATATTAGCAAATTCTTTCTATAATATTAGTCCAGCTATCTAAAAAATCTAAACATTAAAAACCTTAAGGGTAGTTTAAAGTAGATCGAATTTTAATTTTATGGTTTATCAGTACAGAAAGAAAAGGTAACGATACCGATTACAAGAACAACTTGCGCGTGAAGAGAAACATTAAATCCCGAAAGAACGAGGGTAAAACTCCAAACCCAAAAGAGCGATAAGCCGGGAAAACAAGTTCTGCCCAAAAACCAAAAAAAACTATTTGGTGGAGAGAATGAGACGAAAAAGCGACGCAAATTAAATGCAAATAGGAACGTAATTTTTGAAGGAAATGGATGCGTTGTATCACTACGATGATTTGAAAACAAACCCAAAATTCATCAGCAATATCGTGGGACGAATTGTTTCGACTTTCTCAAAGAGATACTTATTGTACTCTTCACATCCCTTCCCCAGTGGTTGATTCAAAGCGCTGAGGGGCATCAAATCATAGTTGACGAATGGGGTACACACTGGAAAAGTTACACTTAAACTACATGCTCTCATTTAGAAATATTTCGTTTAAAGAACCAACTTCCACGTCCAAGCATATGGAATCTGGCGTATCTCTTTTTGAAAGGCTTCTCTGCGTAGTTTTGATAATTTTGCACATAAGAATTCCCAATCACCATCACTTCAAAAGAGCCATTACCTTTCTGTATGTAAAAAAAATTGAAATTATGCTAAAAATCCAGACGTAGCCAGTTTAAGCACTCGGCTTGATCAAAGTTAATACGCGAGTTTACACATGATCTATTAGGTTGAGGAATAAGTAATATAAATTATACGAGAAATATGGAAATATTTTGATGTATAATATTTATTATATAAACAAAGCTTAAAAGCTCAACAATTGCTATTTTTCGCCGAAAACCACCGTTATCTCGTTTTAACTCCGTACCTTTAGCAAGTCACCGTTTTCGGTGATTTTCTAAAAGGCACTAGCGGCACCGTAGTGCGTACGCGATGCTCCGTGTCGGGATCGCCCTATAAAAGGCGACGCCCTTTCTCATTACCTCACTTTTTTGCGAGCTGTTTTTCTAATCACTTCAGGGGCCTCCAAACGTGAATTTCGAATTCGCAGCCGCTGTTTTTTGAGCAAGTGAGATAAAATCAACAATTTTTATTTCAACAATTGGGACGATCTCAAATTAAGAGACAAGAAAAAACGTATAACTGTTCTCTGATTTGATCACTTTCCTCGCAACCGAATGGGAGCTCTGCCTCGCGCAGCTTTTGATTGGTCCACAGTCGGCTTTGATCCTCTTCCAGAGGCACGAGATTCATAGGTTGTCCTGAAAAGTATCCACAATGAGTGAGTTCGCAAGATCTAGTGTTCTTAGGTCACCGGGTGGGCGGGTTGTTGAGCTTTTAAGCTTTGTTTATATAATAAATATTATACATCAAAATATTTCCATATTTCTCGTATAATTTATATTATACTACACAAGCTTAAAAGCTCAACAATTGCTAGTTCAACTTTCCACTACTTTAGGGAGGTAGTACCTAAGCACCGCATCTTGAACTCCCAATTCTATCGGTTTGTGATAGAACTTCTGGAAGGAGGAAGAGCCCGGGGTCCAATTAGCCGCCTTAGTTATCGCTTGTAGGGAAACGCCTGCCTTGGCTGCTTTAGAGGTGGTGGCTGCTCTGGTCGAGTGCGCCCCGAACGACTTATCTACACCACTCAAGACAAGAAAATCTTTAACCCAGCGTGCCACTGTGGAAGGGGTAACCGCTTGATGCGGGACTCTAAGTGCAATCAACACTTGCCCCGTTTGGCCTCTTAGTGCTTCTGTTCTGTCTAGGTAATGCCTGAGTGTTCTCAATGGGCAGAGTGCTTTATTGTCCGGGAACCCTTTGTAGATGATCTCGTGAGCCGGTCTCGAACCCCTGTTCTTCGTCATTGGTAGGGCGAACACTACCCTATCAGGGAAGAAGGTAGCATTTTCCACCGACAACGCAGCCAGCTCCGAAACTCTTTGAGGGCTACAGATAGTCAACAGCGTCACAGTTTTCTTCGTGAGCATTTCCAGGGACAGGTTTTTATTTTTGGGTCCCAGGGATACAATTTTGTTGACCACTAGCGCTACGTCCCAGACTACTGCATACTTGGGCATGGGGGGCTTCGACCGGAAAACTCCTTTCATAAAGCGCGTTAGTAGTTCACTGTTGAGCCTGCCCTCGGGATTCGTTAACATCTCCCAAAAGGTACAGATAGCCGCCTTGGCTGTGAGTACTGCTGAGTAGGACAATCCTTTTTCATTGATCGAGCTCAAATAATTCATAAGATCTACCGTGTTGGGGATGGTGGGGTTCTTATTCTCTCTGTCGCAGTATCGTGACCATGCTTTGAGGGCTGACTCATATTGTTTCCGAGTACCCGGAGCCCATGACTCGAGTAGCAAGCTTGCTGCTCTAGTGGAGAGGCCGAGATTTCGCCAATGGGCGGACAGATCCTCCAAGCCAATAATCCGAAGTTCGCTTTCTGCAAGATCGGGTGAGGATTGTCTAGGGCGTCTGTCAACAGGGGAACCCCCTTGAGTGGCTTCAGTGGTGGCTGTGTGGTCAGGCGTGCTGCCAGTGGAATCCAGCGTTGGTTTGTCCATGCTGGGGTGACTAAAATTAGATTGGCTGATTCTCTTTCCGCTTTCTCCAAAACCTTTCCGATTAACGAAAAGGGCGGAAAAGCGTAGGCCAGTTCGTGGTCCCATTTGTATCTAAAGGCGTCTACACGAAAAGCCTCCGGGTCTGGGTGTAGAGAATAGAATTTGGGCAATTTTGCGTTTATCCTGGAGGCGAACAAGTCCACCGTGGGTACGCCCCAAATTTTAAACAGCCCATTGGTCACCACCCCGGATAGGTTAATTTCAAGATTATCCTTGAAATTTCGCGAGTAGAAATCCGCCTCAACGTTTTGGGCGCCTGGCCGATGGGTGGCTGCGATGGTTAAATGCCTTTCTCGAGCCCAAGACCATATTCGCGTTGCGATCTGAGATAGAGCTGGACTTCTGGTGCCGCCACACCTGTTTACGTAGGCAACAGCTGAGGTGTTGTCCAATTCCAAGAGGATGTGCGCATTGTGAAGCTCCTTAGCAAAGGTCTTCAAGCCCAAAAAGGCTGCTTCTAATTCAAGACAATTTATATGAGCCTTAGCTTCCTCTTTAGTCCAGCGACCCCCCGCGCTGTGTCCCTCGCACACGGCTCCCCAGCCAGCTTTTGAAGCATCACTACTGATGATTCTATTATGGGATAGCGTCAACATTGAGAGCGGCCCTGCGTCTCCTAAGGTTTCACAGGCTTCTAGTAACTCTTTTTCTTATGTCTTCCGAAATTCGGAGCGAGGAGTCACGGCCTTTGCGTCTAATGGTAGACGTAAGCTTCCTTTGTGTCTTACGGAGGAACAACGCAAGCCAGGGGATTGCTTGGGTGTAGTACACGAATTTTCCCACTACAGTCTCGAGTAAGTGGGTTTTTTGTTTTCCCCTCCGTGCTCGCTAGCGTGGCCCTGGTTAAGGTTGTTAGAGCTTCTCACTTTTGCACCGGGATCGCTAGACTAGGTGGCAACGATGACACGCAGAGACCCAGATACTCAATTGATTGCCGGGGGAATGTTAAAGACTTTTCCCAATTGATGGTAAACCCTAGTGAAATCAGCGTTTGTGAGGTCAAGTTCAAATCATGGATCGCTTCGTCTCTAGACGCGGCAGCTATGAGGATATCATCCAGATAGACTACGCATCTGACTCCCTGACTTCTCAAATAGTTTATGGGTACTTTCATCAGCTTGGTGAATACTCGCGGGCTGTCGTTTAACCCAAATGGGAGTACTGTGAACCTGTACGCCTTGGCTCCCACCTTGAACGCTAAGTAGGGGGTGTGCTCTTCGCAGATGGGTACGTGAAAGTATGCATCCTTCAAGTCTAGTTTCAGCAGGAAATCTCCTGAGCGAACTACCTCGCTTATTGATCGGACTGTATCCATTTTAAAATGGGTGTGTCGTAGTCGCTTGTTTAAAGGCTTCAGATTAATAATTGGCCTTAGCGACCCGTCTGGCTTGGGGACCGTAAAAATCCGAGAAAGGAAGATCGGTTCACCAATTTTGCATTCTACTATTGCGCCCTTGGCTTTCAGCTGATTAACTTCTACCGCAATAGCCTCTACTTGGGCGTTGGGTTCTACGCTGCCGTCTGCTGGAGTCAAAGCAGGGGGAGGTCCATTAAATCTAAGCCGGTAGCCCCGTACTGGTTCTAGTAGGGATTCGCAGGGTGTCAGCGCTTTCCAAGCTGCTTGGAAGTGTTTTAATCTTCCCCCAATAGGTAATAAATTAAAATTGTACCTCGGTGCGGGTTGGCGCTCCTGACGATCCGCGCGAAGACGCTTGCTTGGAGGCCCCCCTTCTATGCGTCGTTGTCCCGATGACGCTCCTCGGGTGTCCTTTGCTGGTGTACGTAATCGTTTCAATTCTAAAGGCAAAAGTGAACACATGAAAGGACTTTTAAAAGCCACCCACTTGAAACTAAATCTGACCCTCCTCGCTCCTCGAGCTTCTTGATCAGCTTAGGGCCAAACAGTGGCGGACGATTCCCGCGGGTGGACTCCTCATGGACTTCCACGTCCAGGATTCCCTTTGCCGCTTCTGGCAAAACGTTGTGGATGTTAAGATGTAGCGCTCTAAAGAGAAACGATACTCTACTTACAGCGATCAACCTACTTGAACACATTATCTCGTTGCAGGTAGGTGAGCTGGGAGCAAAGGGCAGCCAGAATGTGTTCCACGGTGTCCAAGTAACTGACGGCTTTCTTCTCGTTTCCCAGCGAGAGTAGGTGTTTGCTACGTGAGACGCAACCAAGCGAACTTCTAACGGCTTCGTCAAAAGTCCTGGCCATGCTTGTTGAGAGTTGCATCCTTCCCGGTTGTGCGTCTCCTTGCAGTTGGCGGTCCAGGATTGGCGTATGTGCCAAGTGATGTCCCTGTGGAGACGGAACCTTCTCGAGGAACGTCTTCAAATCCGACAATCGCCACCCGTTTCCTCCTGCCTGAATGGCAAAATGTTTCACCGCCTCGTCCGGGAGCGGAAAGATTGGTCGTTCCGGTTGAAGTTCCACCGTCGGCGCTTCCGGAAAATTCTTCTCGCTTTCGTAGACCTTCGGGATCCTGTATCGGCCTCTGCTTGGAGAGCTATCTCGTGACGTTGAGCGAGAACGAGAGAGAGACGCTGGCGAGCGGTCACAGCTTTCCTCCGAGGAAGTCCTTGATCGCGATCTTGGCGACCTCGAATTTTGTCGAGAATGTGGCGCGGGCGGGGGCACGACATCCATCCTCTAAAGAAAAAGATTTTTATGGGGTCTTGAAGGTGGCACCCGGGAATGATTTGCTACGACCCAAAGGGCTCGTCAAGCTAAATCTACCCCACCTTGAGCGTGGCAAATCATTCCCGATTAGCCAAAAGCTTTACGCTCGAAAGAGAAAACACAACAAAAAGAATTGTTCTGCTAAAGCGAAATGAAGGTATAAACGTCGACCCCTCTGAGGAAAGCAACGTTTAAATGACGAGTAGATGTTCTAAGAGAACATGATGAACGGTTGAGAATAGTTCGCGCCGCGATGCTATTCAAAACCGGCGAGAAAACGGCTTGTCTCGAAAAAAAAGTGAGGTAATGAGAAAGGGCGTCGCCTTTTATAGGGCGATCCCGACACGGAGCATCGCGTACGCACTACGGTGCCGCTAGTGCCTTTTAGAAAATCACCGAAAACGGTGACTTGCTAAAGGTACGGAGTTAAAACGAGATAACGGTGGTTTTCGGCGAAAAATAGCAATTGTTGAGCTTTTAAGCTTGTGTAGTATAATGTCGGTTTTTGTCACAAAATTGTTTATTGCTAAAAACATAGACAAAGGCAGATCAATCAATGAGATATTCTCCATTATTATTGATGACTTGTTCCCATCTTCGTCGCAATTCCCTGATTGGACCCTCAAAAAATGGGGAGTTTTCGAGCCAAAATATTGGGTTGGGGAGAATGAGTCAGCGCCAAACTTTAAAGGGACTTTTTGCACACATAAAGCCTTCTTTAAACATACGTTTGGTTTCATCAAAAGGATCCACTATTTCTCTACAAAATCACTTTTGAGAGATTCCACAAAGCTTTTCTTTCGTGGAGTTTATGAACTTCCAAACGCAGCTGGTTAAAATGGCAAAGAGTCCGACTCATCATTTGAACAGTTTCTTCCACATAAACCTCCTTTGGTGTTTATATAAAAAAGATAGAGCACACTCAATTACATAAGTTACCAAATTTTCAGGAAGATCCCTCCAACCGTTTACTCTAGATGACAGTTTATCGATTTTGTGAAGAAATGATCCTTTGTTGAGTTGAGGCGCTGTTTGAGTTCTCCTTTAAATATTATTTTGTAGAGAATTAGTTACCCTTCTACGGATATCAAACGCATATCATTTGACAAAGTCTGCTATAAGTTTTAGAACTTTCTTGGATTTTCGGCGCCGACTCATTCTCCCCAACCCAATAAGTGTCGACTGCTTTTTTGATCTGTGCATGATTCTCAAACTTTTCGCCCATAAGAAAACTCTTCAACGACCAAAACAAAAAATAATCTGATGGGTCCAGGTCTGGACTATAAGGTGCGTGGGGCAGAAGTTTCCAACCAAACTCGTCGATTTTTGCTGAATGATTTTTTGTAGCGTGAGGTTTTGCATTATCATGCAAAAATAGCACTTTTGATGTTTCAACGCCCAATTTCTTGTCAACAACGGGAATTCAAAACCGACATTACTTTTTCCTCAACCTAATAGTACAGGGTGCGCCAAAATTATGGTAACGCGTCCGAATTATCTCATTTTTCACTTTTTTCATGTCTTTTTCTTGTTTTTCTGCAATATTTAATTCTACAACTATTTTTCAGGTATGAAATCCAAAAAGGATCTGCGCCCGGCTATCATTCGTCTACATCAGCACGGAAAACGATTTGCTGAAATTTTGCCTCTTTTGCAAGAGAAGAAAGAGAATTTTTTCCGAGCTATAAAACGCTTCAAAATGAACGAATGAAGACCGCAAAGGAAGAGGACGCCGATCTACAGCCACTTTGACAAATCGAAAAAAGAGCTTCACAAGACTCAAGAGGAATGCAACCACCACGAAGAACTCGACTCGGAAAATCGCCACCGCTATTGGCATCGGAGCAACTTCGGTTCGACGAATCCTCAAAAAAACTGGATTCAAGGCAAGAAAACAAATAAAAGGTAATTTTTTGAATGATGAAATGAAAAAGAAACGTTTGGACCGATGTAAACAACTAAAAAGACGTTTTGCTGCAAACCGTCATCGTCAGATTCTCTTTAGGGATGAGAAGTGGTTTGAAGTCAAATAGGCGCAAAACAGTCAAAACGACAGAAGCTGGTCCAAAAATCCACTTCCATTAAATGATAGGATTGTTTCAAAGCAACTAAAGCCATAACAAATAATGGTTTGGGTAGGAGTTAGGTACAGTGGAAAAACACCATTAATTTTCTAGGGTAAAAGTCGACAAAAAGATGTACTTGGGGATGCTCAAGGATGAAATTTTATCCTGATCTCGGGCTCATTTTGTAACTAAAAGCTAGACATTTATGCAAGATTGAGCTCCTTCTCATAAAGCTGCCGATACACAAGACTGGCCAACAACTTTCCTGATTGGATCACAGTGGATATCAACCCGCGGCGCCCAGGAGAATGGCCTTCAAATTCTCCCGATTTGAACGTTTTGGACTATTCCATTTGGTCGATCTTAGAGAGCAAGGTACGTGCAAAGTCCCACACATCGGTAAACTCTTTGAAACGGGCACTAATTAAGGCTTGGAACGATTTGTCCATCATCACAGTTCAAAAGGCTATCGATGAATTTTCAAAGCGTTTGAACCAGTGTATTGCTGCTAATGTTAGTCATTTTGAGCAATAATTGTTGTTTACATAATGTTCTTGTTAAAGTTAATAAAAATTTTTGTTTTCTAAAAGTTTTTACTGGAAAAGATTTGTGTTTTCTACAGTTACTATTTTGTTACCATAATTTTGGCGCACCCTGTAAAAAACTGCAGATAGGCAAGGTCTCATTTGGAAAGGCCTAGACTTAGTACCATTCCCTCGTGAGCTCTAAAGATGCCAACCACTCCATGTCAGATCATCCAAGCGCCAAATAATCCGATAAGAGCATATGACAAATTTTTCTTATGGAATAAGGTACTAACCTCCCTGTGAGAAATAGATGAGTCCCGTAGCTGCCATCACAGCCAAAACCCTTGGTATCTCATCATTCAAAAAGTATAGGAATGGAATGATCATGCAAAGGAAAAAGGACAAATAAATGAACTTTTCCGATGTTTGGTTGTAGGAAGGGAAATCTGAAAAGGTAGCTGATATTGAAATGCAGGTATCATAGCAGAATAGATAGTTTGAGGATTGGATAGTTGATTTAAGGTTCGAACTGACCCCAACTCATCCGAATTCACTGTCTTAACAGATAGAAGCAGATAGAAGTTCGGGGCCGGATCGAACCGAATGACGAAACCAATATCGATGCAAATTGGACCGATAAAATTTTATATCTGCTATAAACCAGACTGGACAGGACTGATAGATCGGCCTTTCAGCCCAGGTTGAACCAGCAAACAAGGGTTGGAATGATTTCCAAGTCTGTTTGCTTGATTCCCAATGATTCCAAACCCAAAACTCTGGCCATATGTTGAGACAAGTGTGACTAAATACGCCATAAACATATTTTTCATACCCAGCTAAATTTTCTAATACAATTCAATTTTCAAGTATCTGAATTTTTGGGAAGTGCCTACCTTTTGACGTCTTCTGATCAGAAGGATCCTCATTAACATCGTGATTTGATTCCAGTAATGCTTCAGCTTCTTTTTCAAGATTGCTACTCTGTGATTTTGTCTTGAAGAAGATATGAATTGAGATTCCAAATATAAATTGCCAAAGTCGAGAAATGAGGAGCCCAAATCCGATAGAGGCTGGGAAGATCTAAACAAACTGAATTTTAATAACCATAGTTACCAACCATTTCAGCCATCAATGATAAAAAAGCCAGGATTCTCATCGCAATGTATTTTGATCGATCGGAAATCGATTGAAGCATCCAAAATATTAATGGCACAAAGAGATAGAATTGCATCTCCACTGACAGAGACCATGTGTGGGTGAGGAATTTGTACTCGGAGATCTGAAAAGGATCTGTAGATAATTTGATTTTTTGATGAACTTTAAAGAGAAAAAGTGCACACAAAATGCATAGTCTGCATACCACAAGCTGTAGACTCCACGCTTTCCACTTGAGTTTTAGTTCTGGGTTTGTATTGCACTGCTGATTAATGAATACAATTGCTTTATATTGATCATAGATGGAAATGATTGCTACAGGATGCGACAAAATTATGGTAACTTTATCAATTTTTTTTTTGAGTCTAACTCAGTTCTCGATGACTCAAATCAAATAATTCTTTTTTTGCTATTAGGTTGGCAAGTTATAAACTATCGTTTTTGGGTAATGTGTTTGTGAAGAAACGGCTTATCCAATCAAAAAACGGTGTGCTTGATTCAAAAGCCCTACCCTTAATCTACAAAATGGCTTTTTTGAATCTTTGATGTTCTATTTTAGAACTTTTTCAGGCATTTTAATGTAAGAGTTGAAAATCCTGGTTTCTAGCATTCATGAACTAATATATTTTTGAGTGATTGCATACTTTTAAAAATAAAACGCTTCATCGATTACATCGTTTCCCAAAATTTCAGAACAATCCAATCTTCGAAAGGTTCTCTTTCTTTTAATCTTTTTTTTTTAATCTTTCTTAAATTCAAATGAAAATCGATTAAATTAGTACAAAAGTGCATTTTGAGCCCAATTTGAAAATCAACCTTCCGAAGATTTGAGGACTTTGAAAAAACATAAGCAGTCAGCTCAAGAGAAGACATTCAAATTAGGAAAGTCAAGTTAGCAAGGAAAGTAAATATTCATTTACCCATGAAACTAGTAATATGTCTCGTATTCTCCAAAATAGTAGTGCGCACTACTATTCCCTTAAAACCCCTTAAAACTGGTCGGCCAAAAAAAAATAGGTAAGAGACACATGAATCAAAAATCAAAATTTGCTAAAAATGATTTTAAATGATATGGCTGGGGTACTTTTGTGTTTTTGTGTTATCTGGGGGGGCAGGCCCGTACCCTGGAGGGGGGGGGGGGCATTTGCCCCTCTCCCCGAAATTGATTAGAGAGAATACGGTAAACCCAAAACACCAAAGTTGTATCACTTCATTTGGCTCACAAAGAATCACTTCATTTGACCTTTTGAGGTGAAAATATTGAAAACTTGAATCAATTGAGTTTGCGGTGTAGTCTTTTGTGTGGATTCTAGAGCAAGATTAAAAAAAAAAGATTAAAAGAAAGAGAACCTTTCGAAGATTGGATTGTTCTGAAATTTTGGGAAACGATGTAATCGATGAAGCGTTTTATTTTTAAAAGTATGCAATCACTCAAAAATATATTAGTTCATGAATGCTAGAAACCAGGATTTTCAACTCTTACATTAAAATGCCTGAAAAAGTTCTAAAATAGAACATTTTTCAAAAATTCAAAAAAGCCATTTTCTAGATTAAGGGTAGGGCTTTTGAATCAAGCACACCGTTTTTTGATTGGATAAGCCGTTTTTTCAGAAAACACATTACCCAAAAACGATCGTTTATAACTTGCCAACCTAATAGGTTATCGGACATTTGATACGTGCCGCGCCCCTTTTGCCATTAGCAATCCAACTTTAAACTCAAATATCTTGGGATTGGGCTGTCCAATTTAAATGGTTTTTGTACCAATCGACAGAGAAGGATTTGGCGCATCAAGTGATACTAAGGATATTTAAATTGGACAGCCCAACACCAAGAAATTTGAGCTCAAAGTTAGGTTGCTAATGGGAAAAGGGGCGGGCGCGCATATCAAATGATAACCAATTTTTTTTCTAATGTTTACTCACCAATTCAAAATAATCGACAGTGGTGAACAATGGTTGCATATTTGAAAAAATCCCCATCGAATAGAATGCATCGACGAAGAGATTGTCTCGATCAACTGTAGACAGACATAACCGGCCAGTCAAAACAACACAGAGAATTATAAACCTGAATTTGCACAATAAAAAAGTTTATTAAAATCCCACCCATAACAAGGCATAATTCTTTTGAAACGTCTCTCGAGAAAGGTGAACGATTTCCCCCATGATGTACCCTTGTCATAAAAGATTCGAGCCATCAAGTAACCAGAAATCACAAAGAACCTGGAAGCTCATTAGGTAAATGTTATTAAAGTAAAATGAGAATAATACTGATAAAGATCATTAGCAAAAGTCAGAGTATTTCAAATGTACATTTTTGTTACAACAAATTCCAGTCAAGCCTGGTTTGGTGGCTTGCAGAATCCCTTCAAGGTTTGCGGTGTTTTAGGTGATTTTGGGGTTTTCGAGGGGTTCAGATGGGGTTTGTGGGGATTTGACACCCCTCTACAGACAGCCAAATTCAATACATAAGTTAAAATCCAAAGTCGATGGATAAGATACCGTAATCAGTTACTAAACGATATTCCGTTGTCCGTTTCTTGTAACTTTGTGTGTAACTAAAATCCCCTTTTTAAGATTCACGTTCATTCAGTTCGCCCCCCCCCCTTTTTTCTCTTCATTTTTCTTCATCAATTTTAAAAGTTTGTGTCCAAACACAATTTGAACATGAAATAAAAAGCGCTCCACTTTTCTTTTCACTTTGCAAGTGTTAAATAGTTGTGTCACAAAGAAACTGGGAAATTGAAAGATCGATCAGGAGGTCTACAGAAACATTTGAGATCTTTGCTAATAAAATAAATGGTATTCCAAGTTGTGCAAAAAAAATCCCAAAACTCCCAGCTCTGTCCCACTACGTCAGACCAAGTCAGAAGTTCTTTTTTCTACAGTTTCGTACTTTAATTACTACCTACTTATGAAATATGCTAGTGTAAACGATACAATTTGCTACTATTTTTACGGACACCCATCAGCGTCATGTGTAAAGCCACGTACTAACCTTTTCATCTCTATTTTCCATCTGTATATTCTTCTTCTTCCTAGAGGATTAGAAGAAATCTATTCCTGTAGAAATGGGCATTTCCTTTAATAATCTACTATCTAAAAGAGAAATGTATCGGTGGTGCAAAATTTGCTTAGGAAATCAAAACTGGTTTAGAGAACGAATTGCAGAAAATTGACACGCGACCAAACTGAAAAACGGTATTGGCTCACAGGGATTAATACTAAAATACTTTTTGAAACCATACTTTTTGCATCTCCTGGTTTGTATAGTTGACGTAGAGTAAACATTAAAATTTGAGATACTTTCGACTTTTACAAGTTTTATGATAGAGAGAAAAAAAAGCGGAAAGAACTTTTCAGCCACCCTGTATTTAGGTCTGTGGAAACACTCTTGAGACTCATTGTGTCGTCGAAAGGAAAACTTTGTGGTAAACACTCTCATTTTCACGTAAACGTTAGCTTTGTTGAATTGATTAGCTTTTGATTTTCAATACAAATTGAAATTCACAAATAAATCACTCACATGTCGACGCCCAAGAAGCCCAATGGCACCGAATCCTTGTTCAAATGATACAACAAGACATAGAATATGGCCAAGGCTCGAAGGGCTTGGATCTCGCCCAATTTGGTGCTCATTCTGAAATTTTTATTCTAAAATTCTGAAAGCTAAAAAATTGAAATTGACAACAATGATCCACTTTCTTTCTTGCCAATTTTTGTGTCTTTTTGTCTTCGATCAAAAGATTAAAAGAATGAAAGACGAGATCAGAAACGGCGATAAAGAAGTCTCATGCTAATTTTTGGATTTTCGACTTTTTCCATCTGAAAAGGTTCAAGAATCCTCACCGAATTTGGCAAGGGTAAAGCGCCGCACAAGACAGGAGAAGAATAAGGTTGACTTTTTTTGCATTTCCAAGACCCATTATTTTATTTTTGCTTTATTTCATACATGAAATGCCGACTGTAGAAAGCGTTTATCACGTCACCCAAGAGAATTTATCGAAAACGATAAATTGGGCGAGATCCAAGCCCTTCGAGCCTTGGCCATATTCTATGTCTTGTTGTATCATTTGAACAAGGATTCGGTGCCATTGGGCTTCTTGGGCGTCGACATGTGAGTGATTTATTTGTGATGTTCAATGCAATTCAACAAAGCTAACGTTTACGTGAAAATGAGAATGAACGCGCGTGATACCCTGTTGCGACAATTATGGCGCAACCTGTATGTTCAAATCTTGAGCACCATTCAGCACCTTGAGTTGTTTTTTGAGGTTACGATCGACAAAAGTGCATCGAATCGTTGTCTTCAAACCATTTTAGATGTTTAGATTTTTAGATGAGTTCACGGACAATAACTTGTTGATTTAAGCTTCATTTCTGGCTTTTTTGTGTTTTTCATATGAAATGTATTTTTTTAGAATGACTGGAAAATCCCCCATCGACAATCGATCATCGAATTGCACAAGCGAGGAGTCTCGGCGCCGGAGATTCATAGCATAACACATATCCTTCTTTGTCGAAGATGAGCTTCTTTCCATTCGAGGAATATATTGGTTGCATAATCTAAAAATTAAAAATTCTACAAATCAAGAACAATACAAAATACCTCAATATGTGTTAGAGTGTTAGTGTGGACTGCTACACTACTTCTTATCTAAAATAGTAATACTTAGCATGGATGAAATACGGTGAAGAAAAAGTGAATATGAAAAACAAGTGATACGAGACATAAAAATCGTAAATGTTGAAATATAAAATGACGCAAATTTCACTATTGACTAACTTTTGCGACGCAAGTTTCGCTTTGTTTAATGGCGCAAAACTTCCCGTGACGCGACTTTCGCTTTTGACAGCGCCGCGCAGGCTTTTGCCGCGCAGGTTTCGCGGCGCACGTTTTGCAATTGACATAGATTCGTTTTTTCCGCAAGAAAAGACAAAAAGGCAAGGCAAGACCCGCGAGTTTTCAATACTTTTTTTGACCAAAGTGTGAACCGCCCAGCCTTGAAGCCCAGCCATTAGATCTGGATCCACTTTGCCCAAGCTAGGCAATGCCTGTCTGATTATCATATTGAAAATTTATAAGAAGCTATGATGAAAATTGATGAAACAAAAGAGGTATTATCAAGAATTAGTACTCAACTTAATATCCGTCTATCAAATCTGCTTTGATAGGGGAAAGTGCGCTGGTGGGGCCACCAAGATGACTACCACGACAACCACCACTACTACCTCTAGAACAACGACTACATCAACCACCACATCAACCACTACTCCAACCACTACTCCAACCACTTGCACCCCTTTTGATCAATGTACTATTTGCACATATATTGTTGATCAGGTAGAACTTTGAATCAAAAACAAAAGTAAATAATAGTCGTAAGAATAGTTAGTCGAAGCCTTCACAATCTTAACAACAATCGCAAAGTTAGGGGGTTTATTTGGATGTTGCGTTTGTTATCTAACACTACCCTTCTTTGTGTTGCCGCAGGGTCAAAGTGTCACTGCGGACTGATAGGAATTTGGGTCAAGATCCGGTGACGTGAGGCAGGAGCCCGGTTAGCTCAGTCGGTAGAGCACCAGACTCTTAATCTGGCTGTCGCGGGTTCGAGCCCCGCATCGGGCTGAAATGTTTTTGCTTCTTTGGAAATTTTAATGAATTTGGTTTTCAACAAATAATTTGATTGTCATCACTATTCCCGAACTGAAATTTTTCACTTTCTTCAAAACTTTTTTAGTCGTTTAGCTTTCTTTCAAAATGAAAATGTTCTCGTTTACTTCATATCATTACCAAAGACCCAGTCATTTGATTCGATTTCTGGTTCCACTTATGGTTTCCTGGTTCAATAACCGGAAGTGCCCAGAATGTTTGCCCAGAAGTTAGGAAGATAACTAAAATTATGAGAAAGTAAGAAATTGTGCCAGATAATCCCGTGGTTTGACCTTTGATTGTGCCTTTTTCCATTCGTCAATGAAAAATTCAATCGGATTGTAACTTTGAATAAATTTCAAAGAGTCCATTGTTGTCTTTCACTCTTTCAGGTCGACGTGTTTCATTCTTTTCAATTTTGACTTTTTTTTGACCAAATGTGGACCCCTTTAATCCAATTTTAAAAAAATTTGTCTGGATTTCCATAAATTTCGACTCGTCTCGACGTTCTATTGAATGAAATGAAAGGGAAAAAAGGGCTGTACTTGTGCTTTGGTACTCTCCAGGTTGATCTGTGGGGTTCAAATGGATCGTATAAATAGATAGGTGTATGAATGGAAATCTCATCAACCTTCAATCCACCATCATCTCTTCAAACATGCAAAAACTGGCCGGTCTTCTTCTTGTGGCATTCTCCGTCTTTGAACAGGTAACACTATTGTTAAAGCCTGCTAGATAGTACTGTTGTATACGAGTTCTTATAAACCAATACAACAATTTGCAAGTACTACAGTTATATTTTAACAAAACAATGCTAGGATCCTAATATCTAAACAGGCTCTTCATTATCTTCTTTCCAGACAACAGCCCAAACATGTTCTCCCGTGCCATCCTCTGGTTATTGGGTCAATGCTGGACGTAAGTTTTGTCTCTGTACAGTCAAGTCCAGTCGGAATTCGATATAACGAACCCCAAAGGACAGGCCAAAATGTTCATTAAATTGATGGTTGTTGTATCGAAGTTCATTATATAGAAATTAATAAACCAAGGTTTTTCAACCAGTTTCTGAAGTCTTCAAATGTATTTATGAATAGCGAACAAGTCGTGAACATAAGCATGAGAATTTACCAACAATATTATTAGCAAATAGTTATTTCTAAATAACAAAAAGTTTGAGTTTAACAAAAAAAATTAATTAACTGTAATTATTTCTTGCCATTTAAGGCAGGATCGTAGTAGAAATTTTCGATTGCATTTTTGAAAACATCTTTAATCCCATCACTTTTTGCATATTTTCCAAACAGTCTGGAAAACTAACTAACCGTCAAACACATCTGAAAGTATCGATAGGCCTGTTGATGAGAGATAGTTCAGCTTCGTCTAGTCAGAACTAGGCCCGATCAAAACTCGAACCTGCGATCTTTCGCTTGTCGAACAACTGTGCCAACCATTACACCACAAGGCACTTGATCTCTTTTACTCCAGAGGGAGTTAATTGTCTTCCTAAGTCGATTTCGGCGGTTTCTCCTTGTAGTGTTCGACACAATCCCATAACGAGTTTTAAATCTGTCGAGCCATCCTCCACTTGCTTGAAAACCATTGGTTCCCATCGAATTTTTTCAGCTTATATCTTTGGTACCTGTCCGGATCCATCGACCACTTGCTATGATGATGGTACTGGAGATGCTTGCTGGAAAACCACCTGTCAACCATTGCCATCCACTGTCACTTGGGGAGCCGGAGGACGTGAGTCATATGAAACTTGGTTACTAAATAACTTCAAACGAGAGTTGCTTTGAATCTTTCAAATGTTCATTTCTAACCATTTCAGCATCAATCGGTGGCTGTGGCTCTGGCTTCACTTGTTACTATGCGCCCGATGCCTTCGGACCAACCTATTCGGATCAATGCTTCTCCGATTGTCCCCCCGTTCCCGCTGGATACCCATACACCGCTTATGGACGTAAGCTAATTTATCAGCAAAGATACTAGTATTGTTAAGTATACTTGTATAAAGAATGCTGGGTGTGATTTAACTTAATGTGACCATCATTTTCAGCTAACATCAACGGATGCAACGATCCAGCAGCCCCCAACTGTTACTACTACAATAACGACAATCAATGCTATCCATAGATCGATGATGGAAGTCAGCAGCTCAAATTAATAAGACTTCTTAAAAATAAATACCTTATATCTCTTTTCTGAATTATCAGATAGTGTACACTAGACATGGTTTTTTTGGCAAAATAAGATCGAATCGGATCGGGCTAACCCTATCGGTTGAACGGATCGGAACGGAACAGATCGGGCTAGCCCGATTGGTCGGACTGAGCGAAAATTTGTTATCTTAGAGCTGCTACAAAACTCTAGTTTCTTGCTCAGAACTCAAATTTATTAGTCTTTAATTGATTCAACTGTTTATAAATTCAAAAAGGAAATGCCAAGTTAACCAAACAACAACAAACTAGCCAGTAAACATTAACAGTAAACAACAAAATTTTACAAAAACAACTTTAAGATAAAACTTAAAGTTCTAATTTGCTACTGTCCATGTCTAGCAAAAGATAATCAACTTCAGACTCAGACCGACAGGAGAGGGTTGAAAAAATAGTAGTGCGCACTACTATTAGAGAGAATACGGTATATGACGTCTCGTTTACAGACGAAAGAAACAGACGAAAGAAACAGACGAAAGAAACAGACGAAATATTGGGTAATCCTTTTCAAAACAAAAGTCCGACAATGAATTTAACCAAGAGAAACAATGTTCTGAAATGGCGAACAAATAGGGGTACGGTAAAAGGTCCACCCTTTAGAAAACACCTAAGTTAACAAATAAATAATCTGTGGGAAATGATTTAAAACAACTGTATTCACAACACTGCCAGTTCTAGCAATTGGTTTTCCGGCTAAACTTTTAACAATTGCACTCTGAATCCTCTTGGAAGTTTTGAGATCCGGTGGAGCCGTCACAAAGGTAATAGTGATGAAACAGAAAGGAATTGTGGAATTGTGTATAATGTTTCGAGAAGAGAAAGGTCATCTTTATTGGGGTAATATGGAATAGATTTGTTTTTCGGAACGATCAAGAAAAACGATTGATCAAATCGGAAAACTTTTTCAAAGCAGGAGGTGTAAAATGATGTTTGTTTAATGAAAAAAAAAGCAGAAGAATCAAAGATCGTGTTTTGATAAGTGCAAACAAGCTGCTTATCTAGCTGAAAAACTTTGGTCTAGGTCTAGTCAATCGTCAATTATGTAATCTCTGACTTCTAACTGGGAAGTCAATATTTATGAGGAAAAGAATCTCAAAAATTTTAATTCTCATAGAGAAAGCTAATTTATTCAACACATCAACTTTAACCAGTTTAAGTTATTTCAAAATAATTGCCCTTTGTGGAAAACTTTTAACGAAAGTAGGCTATGTCGAATTTTTCACAAGCTTTTGTTAAACTTTCTTGAAAGAATCAAAACCGAAATGTGATTCCAACATTTCTAAGGTTCCGTTGATTCGAAAACCATTCAATAGTTGAGTCTTTCTCATTGTTAAACAAAAATAAAAGATTGGTCCCTTCTTGTGCAATTTAGTGATCGAGTTCCGGTGAATCGATCTTCAGCATAACAAATTTAGAAATCAGCGAAAGTAATTTAGTAAATTAAGTTTCTCCCAAGCAATTCACCTTCAATGCTTTTTATTTATTTTGTCATTTGAAAGCTTTTATTTGCCTGTAACTGTCAGAAAAACTCTTTCACAGCATTTGTAGCACAAAGAATCGAATAGTGAACAATTGAGATTTGTCGAGCCGATATTTTTGCGTCCTCCAAAAAAGTTTCCACAGTTTTTGACGCGTTTAGAACGTTCAACCGAAAAGCTTGAACATTTTGTACTGTAAACGAATTACCGTATCGAATACTGCAGCCATCACTCGACTACTGTAGCTATCTTTGTCACTCACCGAGAACAAAACGTGGCGACTCTGAAGGGAAACAAAACTAGAAGCAGATTACGGTAGTGTTCGAAAGTTGAAACGTTTTAGAAAGCACAAGAAATCACAATAGGCTCTTGTTAGAGTTTTGCTATGGTAAACGATTTCAAAAGTTTTCAAAGTCCTACCTGTGGTGCACCGAGCATGCCCACCGGATTGATGAAACACCGATCAACTCTAAAGTTTTGAAGTCAGAGAAAGCCTTATGATTTGCTAAGAGTAAACCAGTTATTCCGTTAACGATCTTCAAAACTTCAAAATAATCCTAACAACGGAAGGTCAACTGGGTGTGATGGCCAAATGACATGAGCCATAAACTAACCGACGTAAAATTTTGCGCTGATTCCGAATCTGCTTTCTGTTTTTGAAATGCATTATTCTGTCAAAGGTTCGTACAAAACTTTAAACACCAATTTGGCCGAATGTCATTTTGCAAAAACGAAATATAGCATCGGATTCAGCGTGAAATTCTGCTCCGAAAGATCTATGGCTCTTGTCATTTGGCCACCACACCCAATTGAACTTTCCTTGTAGGTTTTTACCCCTTCATTTCATTATCTAAATTCAATTAGAAAATGCATTTGGGTGAAAGACTTCGTACTTAACCTAATTTCAAATCAATTTTTCAACAACTCACGCCATAATTCGGTCGTTGATCGATCGCCTCTCAAATCTATTCTTTGCCTTCGAAAATTTGGCCGTAAATTCCAAAATGGTTTCTTTGAAGGTCTGAAATGTCAAATCTTTTGTTGAGTCTTGAAGTAACAAACCAAAGACATTTGTTGAACGTGATGAACTTGATCGTTAAGTTGTACAATGGCTGCCTAAACCTATTGTTTTGGGTTATTAACATTTTAACAACCTTTACTTCCGCTGATTGATCAAAGGGTTTTATTGAGTTGACAGCTTGTTGAACTGGGGGAATGTAGTCATCAATGATTGCCTCAGCTAGTGCCAGATGATTAATGGGGAGGATTTCTGAAAAGGAATATTAACCAGAATACTTCAAATAGAAGGTTATAAGTTGTAAATTGTATCTCAAAGAGTTTTCAAAAAAGTACCAGACTCGCTGAAGCTCCGTGCCAATTCAATCCACAGTCTCCCGGTAGCAAGGTGAATCTAAACTCAGCTTATAAGCAGGATTGGGCGGAAAAGCCAAAAGCCAAATCAATTTAAGCAAAGTCAAGCGAAATCAAAGCCGCCAATGGCCTTGAATTGACTTGGATTAACCTAGAAAATTGGTTTGGTCTTGAAAAAGTTTCATTTTGTCAGACTCACCGCAAAGTTGTCCCAATCGACCAAATGCTCATTGAGAAACGGTGTCTCGTACATGGAATGGTAAAGAGGATAGTCGATTGGGCTATTGTTCTAAAATTTGATCAATCAACTTTATGCACAATTCCAAACCCACCTTGAAAGCAAAATCAATCACAGGGATGCCAGCAAAGTTTTGGAACGGAGCTTGGTCCGAGTTGCCGGATGGGATTTTCATCCACGGTCGGTGTTTATACTTTTCATCCGGATAATAATGATACCTAGTTAACTTTAGACTAGTTTTAAAGTTATAAAATTTCAAACCAAGTATCATAAAGAGTTGGTCGACCCTGCTGTTGTTCTTCTTTGCTCGGATTAGGTATCCGTTTAGCTGCTTGTATCACAACATCATGAAGAGAAGGAGTTGTGGCCAAAGTTCTAAAATAAGTCAGGAAGTTATAAATTAAGAATCTAAAACATTTTGACATTTGAAAGTTTCAAATTCAAAGTTTCAAATTAAAATTAGACCTACAAAGTTTTATTATCATGAATACAGTCCATGTTGATGTAGGTGACGGCTCGTTGTTGTAGCTGAAAATTGAGTTTGGAAACGGTTCCAAATTGGAGAATTCAATATTTTCTTCAATAGTTTCTTCAATATTCAAATATTTTATATCTTTTTCACAAAAATTGAACCATTTGCAAATATTCCTCAACAAATTCCGTTGATCCGATCAAACTGTACTCCTCGGCGTCCCAAGCAGCGAAGAAAATCGTTCTGGCTGAAACAGTTGAAGATTTTCAAAAATTTTCTGCTTTTTATATGACTTTGTTTATAAATTTATAGATAAAATTTGTTAACCTGGCCTCCAGCTAGTCTCTTTCATCGTTTTCGTGAAAGAGTTCGCGATTTCTGTGAGGATTGCCGTGCCACTATTTGGATCCAACGAGCCGTAGACCTTAAGAGACCTTTAACGGTTAACGGGGCAAGTTTTTGGCCAACTTGCAGCCCGATTTTATATGTGTTTGTGTTAACAAACTTTATGATAAAACAAATAGCTTCTGAAAGTTGACGTTCTAAGCTATCTAAATCTTTTTAAAACTTCCTGATCTGACAAGTTTAAGGCGCTTAAAAATGAGCTGCAATTTAGCCAAAAAAATTGACGCCCGCCAATAATCGCTACCCGCCGCCGTTAACCGTAAAGATCCACCTTAAGTTTCAAATTTACTTCTGAATCCAAACTTAATCCAACTAGTTGTTTTTTTAAAGCATTTTCATTAATTTCCCTAACCCAAGCATCGTAATGATTCCCCAATATCACAAAGCGATCCGGCTCTTCTGCTCCTTTGATGTAGCCAAGCACATTGTTGATCGTTCTACAGAAGAACAAATTATTGGAGTTGATTCAGAGATGGGGTTTGTAAGCCAAAATTTTCAATTTACTGCAAGTTATTATAACCTGGGAATTGTGACAAATTGCGTGCTTACTTTGTTTCATAAATAGAGTGAACCTCAAGCGTAACTTTTGCGTCATTGTGCAAACCGTGACCCAATCGGTAATCCAATTTCAATCCACCCTGAATTTTGATAAGCTTTACTTTTCATACAAACTTATACCTGCCAATCCTTAGGTGCTAATGGTCCATTCATTCGTTTCATGATCTCAAAAGCTGTAGTGTAGCTGATTGGGAGTGCTGGGATTGAGGGCAAAATCCCGTTACGTTTAGCCTGGACACAGTCTTTATCAAGTACCCAAAAGTTTCAAATTGAAGCAAACCTGTTCAATGTCACGACTCCTATAGATTCCCGGCTTGCTCGGTAAAACTGGTGTCAACGGATCTCCAAACATTCCATGAATGATCGATCCTCGTTGCACTCCTTCATGCGGCATCCATGCTGTGTGAGGGTAGACTTTGTCTGAAGCCTTTCTTCAAGATCTACATCACTCTGGATCACTTTAACCTCTACAGGGTGACCAGAAATCACCCATCCTAATACTCCGTTCTAAGCTCATATTTCTGTTATTTGTAGACAAAAATGTTTAATTTCTTTTTTTAAATGAAAATTCACATCATTTTCTGTATATGTTTAAGATTTCATAACCATAACATCAATAAATAATTTTTTTATGAACGCTGAAAAATAGCTAGTCAAAAAAATAAAAAGCCGCAATACAAATCGAAAATAACCCAACAAAATAAACTTTTCTTTGTTTTTTTTTTCTAAAAGCTAAGCTTTTGTTATGTTTAAGTAGATTCATTTCAAAAAAATATGATATTGCGTTAATATTTTCTATAAGATCATCAATAAAGGAATCCCTAAATTTGAATTGCGACTCGTTATTTTTTGACTAGCCATTTTTAAGCGTTCATAAAACAATTATCTATCGATTTTATGGTCATAAACTCTTCAAAATATACAGAAAATGATGTGAATTTTCATTTAAAAAAGAAATTAAACGTTTCGGTGTACAAATAACAGAAAGGAGCCTAGAGAAAAAATGACGAGTCATTTCTGGTCACCCTGTACAAGGTTTGTGAAACGTTTTGGTACTTTATTCATTATTCAACTGCTAGTTTGAATAAAGTACCAACTGGAAACTGTTAGAATAGCCAATTGTTCCTGGATCAGATCGGCCCAGGCAAATCTGGCCTTGTTCTGAGCTTGTCTAGCTTTACTAGAAATTTATTCTGCCAAAACCAGGTGCCTAGAACTGATGTCGTGACGATCTCGTGATCGAGATCACCACGAATGGAAATGGTCAGCCAGGCACCTTTGTGGGCGAAGGCCTAATGTGCGAGATTTAATATGCGTCGCTATCCGTTCAACTCCATTGTGTGCAAGACGAGACCAACGCCAAAGTTTTGTATAAAAGAAATGTGAACGAGCTGCCGAGGTGTGCCGTGGAGTCGTCTCTACTCTCCCAATCCCAAACCACTGAACCAACTATTATTGCTGTAATAAAGATCATATCTGAACCACCAATAATCACTACAACTGACTTCTGATCTAGCTTAGCCTTATCTCTTACAGGACAAGTCACTGGTGACATTATTTTCTAAAACAATGCTCGTGATCTTCAAAAGCTTACTGATCTGGCTTACAGGCTTACAGCCTTACAGGCCTGGTTTCCAGGCTTACAGCCTTACAGGCCTGGCTTCCAGGCTTACAGCCTTAAAGGCCTGGTTCCCAGACTCGATTGAATCCATCACAGCAAAATGATGATTGATTGACTTTTAATTGATTTTTTAATGATTGAATTTTAATCGCTCGTCATGGGTTATATTATTTTGATGTTTTTGAAAACTTTACCTTCATCAATTCCCTCTGCAGCCACTTCAGCCGGATCCGAGTACAGTAAGACGGCTGTTGCTCCCTCATGCTGCGCTCTCTTCACTTTATCTCCTCGAAAACCAGTTCCATAGCGGATCAATGCTATTTTACCCTGTAAGAAGTTATAATTCTGACAATAAATTTACAAAATCTTACGGTAACATTGATTTCCAATTCCTTTAGCGTTTGAAAATCGGAATCACGAGCCTCATTGCAGAAAACAATGTCACCAGTGACTTGCCCTGGAGGAGACCAAGCTAACCATTGAATACCGGCAACTAGAAGTAAAATTTGATATTAAGATCTAAAAAAACTGATAAATTATGCATAAAAGATAAGCTCAATGGTTATTTGAAACTCACACGGATCTCCTTGCTCATCCGGTAAAATCATCGGCTCGGTCCCATTTGTTTGATAAAAAGTTTCAAATCCTTTGTGAATTTTCAGCTAAAATATTTCATATTCAGAAAAATTGGAAGAAAAAAACCGTATTTGGTTTTTCCCAAACGGGATAGTTCAACAACACATTGTAGCTGTTGAAGTGAACACCTAGAATCGTAATGATTGTTCAATCAAGAATTCCATCAGATCCCTGGTAAGAGCCTATTGGGTTGAGGAGAATGAAATGGCGCCAAACTTTAAAAACACTTTTTGCAGACATAAAGCTTTCTTTAAACACACATCTTTTTCATCAAAAGGTCCACTATTTCTCTACAAAATGACTGTCGAGAGATTCCACAAAGCTTTTCTTTTGTAGAGTTTGTTGACTCCCAAAACACAGCTAGTCAAAATGGCAAAGAGTCCGACTCATCGTTTGAACAGTTTTTTCCACATAAACCTCCTTTGGTGTCTACATAAAAAAGATAGAGCACACTCAATTACATAAGTTGCCAAATTTACAGGAAGATCCCTTCAACCGTTTTTGCTAGGTCACAGTTTATAGATTTCGTGATAAAACAGCATTTTTGTTGAGCTGTTTGAGTTCTCTTTTAAATGCCATTTTTTAAAGAATTAGTTAACCTTTCTATTGATATCAAACGCGTATCATTTGACAAAGAAATTTGACGAAAAAATTTTCATTGATTTTCGGCGCCATTTTATTCGCCCAAACCCAATAATTAGTGAGCTGTAGATAGGCAGACTAGTCAAGTTCAAGACGCAGTTTAAGGCTGGATTCTGAGTCCTCAGGTACTTGTAAAGTAAGACTAGGCTTGCAGTAAAGTTAAACCAAACCAGGCAAAGCCCGAGCCAGGCTTGCATCTGCCTGCCTTGGACTACCTGGAGAAATCATTTGAGAATCGACATCGAGGTCTTTTTCAACTTTCAATTCAAATTAGTATATTTACTGTATTCTCTCTCTCTAATATTAGTGCGCACTACTATTTTTTCAAGCCCCTCCTGGACCGCAACACTATTAGAGAGTGCACTACTATTAAAGAGTGCACTACTATTAGAGAGAATACGGTATTTTGAAATTCTTGGTTTGTTATTAACATCATTTTCTATTTGCTACCTTCAAGTCCATTCTCTGTCCAGATTCGGGCGATAGCTTCTGCGACTCGCCGATTTTCATCAGTTCCGGCCACATGCGGTTCTTTCGTTAACTCTCTCAAGTAGTTCTAGATTAAAATTATTACGATAAAATTTAACTGAAAAATAATTAAACTAAAATGAGCTTTGACAATGGAACAATAAGAACCTTTATATTATCGACATCGATGTTCTCCATTAGTCTCCTCGAGATCAAATCGTTGATAGCTAGATTCAAATTTTGAATATTGAGTTGCTAAGTATTTACCTGTTTTTTCTGTTGTTGCATAGCCCAGTACCACGATTATAAAAATGAACATTGACATGAGAAAAATGATCGTTGGAAGAATCGGCATTGAAGGCGGTGGCTTATGCTTTGATGGTTCAACTATAAAAGTTGAACATTATTAATCAAAGAAATTGGTTTGTCAAAGTTCTAGTTCCGCTTGAAAATAGAGTTTGATAAATGTCGGTAATGTTTCAGAATCGAAATTTCAACAGTGCCTTCTACCAAGCATTGAAAACCTAATCAATTCGGACTTTGAACTAGCATTGCTCCTCAAATTTATTTCTGCTTACAGGCCTGTCTTCTACTGTAATCCTTTCACACTATCAAACGTCACCGTCTTGGTTAGCTTCCAGTAGTCCATATTCTTGTCTTCTTCGGCGCAAGTTCTAGAATAACAAAAACTAAATCTCCCCTTTTAACGGCTTTCTGGAGATTGGTTAGACCCAAAAATTACCCTTGTCTCCATCCAAATGCAAAGCTTTAGAACTTTTTGCTGGAATTGGCTAGCGGAATAGAAATATAGAGCAAAGCAATTTGCAAAACACCTTGTAGAAAACAAGCATTTCTCGGGGTCAAAGCGCCAAGCGAATTGATAAGAGAGAAAATACCAAATCGATACACAGCTGACCATCGGGTTCGGTTTGTAAACAAAAAGCAAAAAGAAAGCTTTGTTGTGGTTTTTGAAGAGTTAGATTTTTTAAAATCACGACTTATTTTGACTATTTCGATCGATTCGTCTTGGCTTTGAGGTGGAAGTATGCAAAGGAGTTCGACGAACCATGATTGAACTTTCGATTTTTATTCTCGTGTTGACTCTCGAACTCTAAACACAAAGTTTTTTTTCTGATTAGCCAACATTGAAAATGAGCTGACAAGGGAGATTCGTCAACTTACCACCAGCTTTTAAAACGTGACCTAGCACATCTAGATCAGTTTTTCGCGCTGATTCCGAATCTGTACTCGAATCTACTCCAGACGCCCTCTGTGGCTAGGAAAAATGGTATTTGCGCAAATAAGACACCGCAGCTCGCGCAAAATCGTGCTTTCTATCCGTTTTGAATGTTTGAATAGCCATTTGACGCAGAAAAATATCCTAAATTCAATAGTGAAAAAAATTATCAAAATCCGTCGAATACATTTTTTTAAAAGTCGCATTTTATCAAAAAAATCGGTCATTTTACACAGAGAGGACCGGACTCACCTGGTTTTTAAGGCCAATTCTCGCAGATGGTGGGCAAACGCAAAAATCCTTCAACTCACTTGTATGCACCTATACTCTACGAGCATTTTGGTACTAAAAACATAAAAATTCGGCCACGCAGGAAAAACTAGTAGCATTTTCAATCAAAAAAAATGTTTTTTCGTTTTTTTTTTTTGTATGGAAACCGAGGCTTAGACCACGGTTCTCGGAATCAGCGTTGAAAATTACCCTAGAAAACGCAAAACTCGGTCTTTTAGCAACATTTTTTCAAAATACCTGCCGCGGGTCGGAGTCGAACCCTCGACCCTCAGATCGCCGCTAAAAAAGAAAGCTGAAAGAGCTCTGAAAGCGGTGATCTGAGGGTCGAGGGTTCGACTCGGGCGCGCGACAGGTGTTTTGAATTTTTTATTGAAAATATATTAGTTTTTGGCTACTAGTTTTGGCTCTTGGTGGCCACTCTGGTGCCAAAAGTGTTTTTTCTGTGAGGAAAAGAAATGACTTTTTCGAAATTTTTCTATTTCATGACCCCTATACAAAAGATTCCCCATACCACCTTAGTCACCACTAGACATGTGCACTCGAACCGTATCAGTCGGTCCGATTTTGGTCCGGTCCGGACCGAAGCACCAATTTTTCGGTCCGATCTCGGTCCGGACCGGAACGAGACTGGACCAAGACCGAAACCGGACCAAGGACCAGGCCAAGGACCGGACCAAGGATCGGACCAAGGACCGGGTCAAGGACCAGGCCAAGAACCAGACCAAGGACCGGGCCAAGGACCAGGTCAAGGACCGGACCAAGAACCGGACCAAGGACGGGACCGAGTGCACATGTCTAGTCACCACCAGCATGAGATTTTTGCCATAAAATTAAACTTTTCTCCTGTCATCGTGGTGCATAATAAACACTATTAGGATAGCTACAAATTTAAACCATACACTTTGTTGATCAGCGCTTCCTTGGAAGAACGGGGTACTTCTTTAAAATCTTCTTTAATTTGAAAATCTCTTACCTATGACAGAATATCATATAATTTAGATGAATAGAGTTTTTCTTAGTTTACAAAATCTTACTTTATATATTAACTCTAAGATGACGCCACAATGGCAGTAGAAAGTTTTAATTTTATGGTAAAAATCTCATGGTGCTGGTGATCGTGGCGGTGAAAAATTCTCGTGTATAGAGGGGTCATCACACTAAAAAATTTCAAAAAAAAGTCATTTCTATTCCTCACAGAAAAAACACTCTTGAAACCAGAGTCACCAGCAAGAGCCACTACAGATTTTGAGTAAAATTCGAGGCAAAACAACTCTTTTTTTATCGGACACCCTGTAAATATTGAAAATGGTAAAACAAAAAAGTGTTAGAAACTGTTTTAAAAAAACCAAAAAGAAAAGCACCCGTATCCGAACCAGGGATGCAAAAATGTAAGCGTAACGCCCTAGCACTACACCATTGCCTTAAATTTCCTTCTAAAAGGCGGTGTCTTATTTGCGCAAATACCATATTTTATCCAACTTTAAACCCATTTTTCCTCGCTTTAAAAAACTAATCTAAATGTGCTAGGTCACATTTGAAAACCTGGTAGGAAGTTGACGAACCTCTTTTGTTAGCCTAACATCTAAGTCTTCCTCATTCTTATTATATTTCTCTTGAAACTTACTCTAAAGAAGTTTTTCAACCATTCACGATAAAACTTTGTGAAAGCAAGAACAAGGAGACAATTTCCAGAATAATGAAAGTTGGTCAACACCCCGAGACTTGTAGCAAGCCAACCTAGAACGAAAAATGAAAACATTTGCCATAAAATGTTGGCATTCAGACTTGAGTATCGCCAACTAACCCACCAAAATTATCGCCGAAAGACGCAGAGATTACAACAGCAAGAATAAATGGTAATTGGCAAGTGAAGAAGAGAAAAGTGAACTAAAAGAGATGCTTGTAACACTAATATTGTGAGTAGAACTGTGCACCTGAAGGAAAGAGACCCGCGTCAATTGCTCGTGCATTAGTCTTGTGTTTTGACTCAAATGAATCGTGAAACGGGAGTATTTAAAGACTAGAATAATGTTTGAGGTCATGAAACTAAAATCTTCCTTTCATTTTTAGAAGAAAATCACAAACCATCCCGACAAACAAATAACAAAACCGAAGCCTGTAAAAATAATTGTGCCAGAGTGGCCTGTCCAAAGCATCGAAAGATTGATTGAAGGATGTGACTAAATTTTTTTGATCAAACATTGTACTTTTCTAGAAGTACTGTCAAAATCTGGTCCGTTTGAGGAAAGTTTAGGAAGATATATGTACCGTAACACATTAAAGCACATACTGAGACATAAATTGTTGTCAGGAAAAGCTGGAATTGTTTTGGAGTGCTAAATTAGAGATTTTGCTTTACGTAGTTCATTTTCTGAATGAGTCTTTTCTTCAATGGAGGTGATATGGCGCTAACACGAGCCATGAAGACGAGTGCATGCAAGACGAGGTCGAGCAAAAAGAGAGCATAGTACAAGCCCTAAAATAATGGCATGCTCTGGCAGTGAATGTGCATGAATATTTAAATGGAAATCAGTGGCAGACCCCATAAACTAAGTCAGTGTTTTGGTAAAAGTCTCAGAGCCGGCTCAGATCGCCAAGAGCTTTAATTTAGTCACTTTTAACCTATTCAGTCAGTGATTTAAGATTAACAATAGGCTTGAGCAAGCTCTGATTGTGGTTCAAGCGGCTGACGCAATCTCTTGAACAAATTGATCCTGACGCTTGCCAGGTTTGGTCCAGCTTCGAATAACACTATAAAATCTTCCCAAATCAGGTGGGACATACGCCCCCCCCCCCCCTTTTCTCTTTTGTAATCTAAATTTGAGCTCAAATTTCCTGGTGTTGGCCAATTTAAATATTCTTAATATGATTGGATGCGCCAAGTCTTTCTCTATCGATTGATACAAAAACCATATAAATTGGACATCCCAACACCAAGATATTTGAGCTCAAAGTGGGATTGTCAACTCCTGCCTGCATTATGTTTTTTTTCTACTACAGAAGGCGTGCCAACTTTCAAATCCTATAAAAACCTTACAAGCCCTAATATCAGCCCTTTTCGGTTGAATCTGTTTAAACGTGAGCTAAAAATTATCGTAGATGGATACACGATAGATGGAGCAGAAAAAGTAAGAAGAGATGCCAACACTGCTGAGCATATCTGAACTTTGATTTTAATTCAGATTCAAGGAGTCTAGTTCAAAAGAATCTATACTCTTAAGTGAAAAGTCTTATAGCCTGAGTAGCTACGGTTCAAGTGAAAGCTTAGAAGCTATTCAGTCTTGATGCTGATTTCCCCAGCAATTCAAAATTCTGTCAGCTTTTACTAAACTCTAACTTACAAAGATTCCAATTTGAAGTCTTCTGAATTCTTTCAGATATTTCGGTGCTTTAACAAGAATGAAGATACCAAGAGTGAATGAACAAATGATAAGATCGAAACAAAATGGAACGAAATAAGCCCATTCAATGAGGGTACGATCGGGATCGGTTGATGGATTCATTGCAAGCTTTTAGTTGAATCGATAAAATGAGTGTTCATGAAAATGAATGCTTGTTTTACTGTCAACTTTGAGAAAAGAGCCGATTGTTAAAGCAGATGTTTCTCTATTTCATTATAAAACTACTAGTCTTCAGCTTTCGTTACCACCAAAACGGTTAGTGCAGGTGTAAATTTGAATCAAGAATAGTACGGTTTTCAAGAAATGAAATATCAATCGTCATCAACCATATACAAACTTTTTGGACGGACGGATCAGATCGGGCTAGCCCGATCGGTTCAACGGCTCGGATCAAATCGGAGCTGATTGGGCTAGCCCGATCGGTCGGATCTATCGGATCGGATCGGAGCGGATTGGGCTAGCCCGATCCGTCGGATCTATCGGATCGGTTCGGAGAGGATTGGGCTAGCCTGATCGGTCGGATCTATAGGATCTGATCGGATCGGTCTAGCCGGATCGGTTGAACGGCTCGGATCGGATTGAGCTAGCCTGATCGGTCGGACCTATCGAATTGGATCGGATCTGGTACGATCCGATCCGATAACCATGTCCACTATACAGCACTCATGATTAGTCAAAGAAGCTAGCCAAATGCAATCCTGCTAGTCATTTTTCTCAATTCCCAGTGGAAACTGTTTATTTGATTTCACAAAACAAAACAAATTTTAATGTCTTGTTTGTTTTTGAAAAGACTTGGCTTTGGGTGGGATTAGAAGAAGATCGAACAATGAAGAACGAGTTCGAGCCGCTCAACTCAGCAACACAACAACCAGTTGGGTAAGAGACAAGTAAACATCAAATATTTGAATTCGTGACACACTTTTTTGCAGTAAGCAGAGTTATGTCAAAACAGAGTGCTAACTTGTGCTATCTTCAGCTCATCAGGTCACCCAATAGTTTGTAACTTTTGGTAGAAATCGAGATTTGAGCTGATGACAAAATTTAGGCCTTTACGGACTCCAGAATTATTTTTTTAACTCAACTACAGCACAGCATCAACCATTTCAACAACAGTAGATGAAAGCTCCTTCACTATAACCTCTCTTTCCGTTGAAGGATCAATTACTTGTGTGTTCATTATCTACAGGGTTTCCCAAAATTATGAAGCGGATCTTGTTTTAACAGATTTATTGTTTAACAGATTCTTTTTCTTACTTATGACTAAAATTCTTTTGTATTGGCTTTTTTCAGGATGAAATCACAATTGGATTAGCGACCAGCCATGGTTCGACTCTTGCACGGTGGCAAATCGGTAATGGAGATTTCACGGTTTTTGCACCTGCCTCACCAGACAGTTTCAAAAGCAATCAAGCGCCACAAAGAAACTGGGAAATTGGAAGATCGATCTGGATGTATACAGAAACTTTTGGAATCTTTGCTAATAAAATAAAGGGTATTCAAAGTTGTGCAAAAAAAAGTTTCCAAAACTCCCAGTTCTGTCCCGCTACGTCAGACCAAGTCAGAGGTCCTTTTTTCTACAGTTTCGTACTTTAATTACTATTTACTTATGAAATATGCTAGTGTAAACAGTACAATTTGCTACTATGTTTTCTTACACCCATCAGCGTCATGTGTAAAGCCACGCACTAACCTTTTAATCTCTATTTTCCATCTGTATATTCTTCTTCTTTCTAGAGAATTAGAAGAAATCTATTCCTTGTTGAAATGGGCACTTCCTTTTAAGAATCTACTATATAAAAGAAAAGTGTCCGTCTGTCTGTCTGTCCGTCCGTCACACTCTGGATCTCGGCTCCACTTAAAGCGATTTCGACAAACTTTTTTTTTAATCGATAGGGAATTAAAAATGAATAGGTATATCCTTTTTGGTAAAAACAAGTTTTAGATCCAAAACACGTAAAAAATCAGAAAAACCACTTAGCCACGCCCCCTTTTTGCCTTCGGCGGCCCTCGGGAGGGGTGTGGTCGAGGTGGTTAGCGTCCCGTCTACAAAATGACTGCTCTAAGGGGGTGTCGGGTTCGATTCCCATCCGTTCCAAACTTTTTTGCTTGAAATGTTTTGAAACATGGAGTTAAAGTATGCAAATTTGAGTTGCTTCGTGGTGAAGATATTGTTATAGGAGTCTCGGAGGGGGGCGAGGCGCGATTTTAGTCACGTCAAGCGTCCCAGTATAGATGTCGGTGGTGCGAAGGGTATCAGGGTTGGTTCCGATATTGCTTTGAAGGATTAAGATATAGATCCCAGTATTGTTACAGGAGACTCGGAGGGGCCCGCCCTTTAACTTGAGAGATCAAACTATGCGTTAGCCCCAAAAAACCCAGCCAGAAAAACCCGCCGTTAGACGGGTTTTTCGGCTGGTCTTTAATAAAACATGTTACTTAACATACTATGGTGCTGAGAAGAATGTTTATGTATTTTGTGTATAATCATCAGCTCTAACAATGAGTCCCGTGCTGATCTGGCCAAGAATTGCCTCGTATTTTAATTCAAAACGAAACTTTCTGTAAGTTACTTTATCTTTTGTACAATAACGGTAATATTCAACAAATGAAACAATTCAAGAAAGAACAAATCTTGGCTTCTGATCCACTTTGTTCCATTTCTGATCGTTGCCATAAACTCACAAGCTCTCACATCACACATCTTACAAGCTCCATAAGTCTCACAAGCTCCATAAGTCTCGGTTCCATTGTTCAAAACAAGAGCACAGACAAATATTAAAGAATTTGGGAGAGTTGAAAAATAAAAGAATATTCTTTTATTTTTCGCTCTTTAGCCATCAACAGTCAACATATTCTTTTGATCAATTGACGCTTTGAACAATTCGTTGAAATGTCTGCTTATCTCAATCTCGATTTCTGCATAATCCTTGCCAGAAGGTGGTGAATATTCTAGCTCAACTTTATCGTCAATTCGTTTTGGAAAGCCTCATCTCGGTAGTACCAAAGTTCTGAGTTGCTTTGATGTACGTAAAAACTTTGTAGAGTCATCAACTTGAACAAGATCCAATACAGAGTGCTTTAGAACGATTGGCAATACGTAGACGTTAAAAACCATTGGAATTGATTTGAGTAACAAAAGACTAAAAATTGAGTTCAATAATAGATCAGATCAATTCGAGGATGGTTGTTGTCTCCAAATGTTGAAAAATCAATCAAATCTATCCAATTTGCGCCAGGAAACTTGAAATATTTGGAAATTTCGTCAAACTGGGTGACAAAATGTTAGAAAATTAGTCCAGAATAAATAGATTTTGTAAAATTTCGTAAATATTAATGGCAAATAAAACAGCCGTAAACGATTCCCTTTTGCCGCTGGCGGGAATTGTGGTTATTTGCTCGGGTACGGTAAATAATTGTGTTATCCATTGTTTAGCTCTCAAGTCTTTAAAGACACAACTAATAGCAAAACGTAAAAAGCCAAAATAAAATTAATATAGTCAAAAGTAGGGCAAATGTCATCGCAAAAGTAGGCGAAAAGTAGTCAATTGAAAAGAAAATGAAATGTAATATCGAAAATTCACTTTTATGTTGCGTCATTAGATCAACAATAAAGCCACGTGTTACAAGAGATTTCCGGGAAAGAGCCGTTTTTTTTTTTTTTGAAAGTTAAAGAAATATTTGAAGGAAAGTTCCTGAAAGTTCAATAAAACACCCAAGCACGAAAAAAAGAGATCAAACAAAAAGAGAACAAAACA